CTCATAGTTTGTCCTCCTAGCTATTTAAAACATAGTTTGTAGGCACAGAAAGCATGTTTTACGCTTTGTAAGCTGTATTTTAAATATTTTTTATTATTAATTATCCTATCATGAGCTTCCTATTAAATGACGTATTAAGTTATGTTCCATACTTTATGGTATATTATCATCTTATGCTTCCTATCTCTTACAGGAAAGTTACTATAAAGTTAGGTTTCATAATTATGTCCCCATCTGATGACATCATGGTGTATTAAGGTATTAAGATACATTATGCTCCCGATTTTGTGGTATGTATATTATGCTCGTTATTTTATGGTATATTGTATTTTGCTCCCATATTATATATCATAATTTTATCATTAGTACATAGCCAATTGTCATTCTATATGGTATTCATATAAAAATTCAAATCATTACAGTTAATTAAATTTGAGCTTTATGTAAATTAAATCTAATTAACATTAATTATGCTATAAAATATATAAACAGCATATTTAATTTGATTTAACCTTTTATTCAGCCATTTGGGTCGTACACAACAAGAAGTCGAGGAAGTGAGATAGAAATATCCACCATTACATTCTAATTTCCGTTTATTTATCACATTCTAACAAGAAATGAAATGGAGGAAATATTTAACACTTTCATTTTAACCCATTTCAAATTTTATAAAATTCCTAAAAATATTTCACGACTTTAATTTACTATTAATTAGAATAACTTCAATCAACAATTACATAATTGTTTTTTACTTATATAATCATTAAATAATATGTTTTTTAGATATTATTTATCACATCATGGTTTACTCATCATCTAAAAATAATTATAAAGTTGTTTTTTAAATATATTTATTACTTTTCTTCCAAGAAATCCATCTTGAAATTTGATTCATCTTCTCAAAATTACTCTAATCATCATCAAAACAGGTAAGAATTGATGAGAAACCGAAGATTTTTTTCCTTCAAATTCGCCAAAAACATAAAATTTTAAAGGAAAATGCCAGAAAAATCGCCTGTTTTTTCTTTTATTTTCCTTTGTTTTTTAAGTAAAAGATTCCATAAAATCTCAAGTTTTATGAAATTGTAAATCCATCTTGAAATCCAATTCACACACTCGTAATTACTCTAATCATCGACAATTAATAAAAGTCAATAAGGAATTTAAGATTTTTACCAAAAAATCAAGTTTCTTTTGTAAAAATTTCAAAAGCAAATTGTATTTTTTTTTCTTTTTTTATGATTCGTGATACAATTTCGTGATAATAAACTTATCAAAGCAATACATGTACAGCGGATTGTATACATCAGCACAGATTTTTTTGAATTTATCTTCTAAAAACACCAAATAATCAAAAAATAACTGTAACAAGGTTAGAGATGCTCGATACTTTTACTTGTCACGACTTGCGGCTTTCTATATTTACAATTATATTTTTGTATAGAGATGTTTTTGTGGTTCATCAGTATCACCGTTACCGCTCATAAACTCGTAAAGATAACTCGATTATTTACCTTTTATCAGTTATATGACACTTATCAACGCCAGACAATAAATTTGGATTACTTTAAGGTTAATTCTAATTAATTTCGATTGTAATTAAAGCGCATGATCTGTACATTAAGACACATTCTAGTGTTTAAGGATGGTTCTGGTATTTAGAATGGATTCAAGTATCTTGTTAACGGAACTTAAAAAGGATTTATAAATAGAAATTTGGGACGAAGTAACTTAACATAGATCTATTCTTAAAATAATTAAAGTAAAATAGCGATGAGTAATATAAGTTTTATATATAACAATATATATTATAACCTAAACAAGCACATTCTAAAAACCTTTGCCTTTGTAGATCAAAGTTCATTTAAACTTACCTGGTAGCACGAAGAGAGCAACACAATCAAGAAGGGGGTGTAGATAGTCACGTGGTACGTGCGACACATTATACAACAAAAATAAAGCAAAACATTAAACGGGAGAGAATATTCTATTTAACTAAACGACGACATTTATCTTTACTCTCTTTCACTCTCTGGGAGAGCGGAACTTTGGGCAACTTCCGTAGGAGTGACGTGCTTTCCGAAAAAAGCACGTGTTTCCTGTTTGTAGGGCCAGGTGGAGACACTAAACTATTACAAGAACTCTCGACTTCTCTCGATCTCACGGTCACGTGAAGCGCGATACTTAACGTTTCGATACGCAAATATTATATTAGAAATGTTAAATAATTGACAAATATCTTTTTATCTTATCTTTTCCAACTGATATTATATTATTATATTTTATTATTAAAGGAATAATAATTTTGGTTTCAATTCCGCTTTGTAATGATTACAAATGTAAAAATATTATACGTAAACTTTATGATTTCATTGCGTAGTAACATTTTTTATTATAAAATATAACATATACAATATAGATTTAATAAAATTATATTGTATATTTTTTATAATTATGTTAAAATTATTTATTTAAAAAACTTTTTTGAAAATCGTTTCATTTTTCGTTTAAAAGTTTATTATTTTTTTTTCTCTTTTAAAAAATGTGGTGCTTCCATCTAGCGGTAGAGAAAATGTGTAAATGTGTTGTGTTATGTTTAGAATTTCAAGAAGTTGAATAAGATTTAAAAATAAATACGCTAAGAAGAATTGCTAAAAATAAACAATATTTTAAGCGAAATTTTCTTTAATTATGCTTTAAAAAAGGAATTATTTTCNTCCAACTCAATGATATTGCTCTAGAACCGTTAACAGTTGCTACAAAATCTCTAGGTTTACTCGGAGCTAAAATTCAATAATAAAATAATTCAAATGTACTTAATTATTCAAATTTCTTACATGTGCAAAACATAAAATACTTAATTACTAGCACGCAAGGTTTTATTAAAAATACTAGTTCTCTATTCATTAAAATTGAATTGTAAGTGACTATGGTAAACCCATAATTGGTCCATGGTGTTAATCCATCAATTAAATAGAATTTAACGTCTCTACTGACTTTTACGCCATTAAGTAAAACAGTATCAAAAATTCTCTAACAAATTATTCTAAAACCATCCAAAGGTCCATTTCGATTTTCTGGATCATTCCAACTCAATAATATTGCTCTAGAGCTGTTAACAGTTGCTACAAAATCTCGAGGTTCACTCGGAGCTAATTCAAAATTGTAACAATTTAAATATATTTATTATTACATTATAAAAACATCACACACACACACAGCTTAAAATACCAACATTACCATCAGCCAAGGTTTTCTCAAATGCAGTGGCTTCTCTACTAGTTAAATTCGAATTGTAAGCGACTATGGTAAAGCTATAATTGGTCCATGGTGCTAATCCGTCAATTAAATAGGATTTAACGTCTCTATCGACGTTTGTCTCATTAACTAAATCGCTATCATTGATTTTCCGACAAGTTATTCTAAAACCATCCAATGGCCCATTTGGATTTTTTGGATGTTCCCAGGTTAGTATCGCGGTAGAAATGTTAGTAACTACTGAAAAGTTTTCAGGCACACTCGGCACTAATTCAAAAAAGTAAAAATATTTAGGTGAAATATCTCTTTAACGAATTAATGATTAATCAAAACTCACCTCCATATAATGTTTCTACGGTTTTGTCAACTTTAGTCTTTAATTTAATACCATTCCATTCATTAAAAGCAATTAAAATGACAGTATAATTAGTCCAGGGATTTAGTCTTTCGAACGTATGTAAAGTGGTACTTCTATTATAAGTATTATTCTTGAGGTTTTCATTTTTTTCTGTTTCTAATATAATTATATATCCATCTAATGGTCCATTAGGATGTTTGGGTTCCTTCCACTCCACAAAAATTGAAGTATTTTTACTAGTAATATTATGAATTTCCAGTTGACTTGGAGCTGTGTATAAAAAAAAATTTTGATTGTTAAAATCAATTTAAAAGTACGAAAATAATGAATAAATATAGAAAATTTAATGCTAGATTTATTTAAAAACTTTCCATTTAGTTTTGTTTAACATGAATTTTTCATTAAAATTAATTTTTAGATATGGTGTCTTTATATGAAATTATCCAAAAATCATTTTTTAATACCTGATGGTTCAGTTCTTTCCGTTGTGTTAGCGCTAAATCTTAAATCTACATCATGGTCCTTCAACAAAACTGCTACTGTAAACCGATATTCGGTCCAAGCATCTAAATTTCCTATTTCTATTTCATTTCTTCCGTTGACGGTAGTGTTTTTAGAAGTAGAGTCATTTGAAAGTTTTGTCCAGATGACGATGAATTCACTTAACAGTGGAGCTTCAGTCGAAACTTGCCATGTTAACCGTATGGAGTTCGAATTTATAGCAACAGCTGTTAAATTTTCTATATATATAAAAATTAAACATNCTATCCTCATGGATGGTAACACTATTGCCGTGCTCATTTCAATCGGTCCGAGTCGTATGTGCACGAAAATATGAAATAAAATGGTTCAAATTCTTACAAGATATTATTATTATTTATTGTCAAATTTTGCCGCCCACTAAAAAGTACCGCGCGGGGAGGTACTTTTTAGGGGGTAGGCACAAGCAGTAGCGTATCGTAGGGGGGCGGCCGCCCCCCTACGCTACGCTACTGCTTGTGGCCCAAAACTCCTTGACTTCTTCCAATGCGGCCCAGAGAAACAAAAAGGTTGGACACCCCTGGCATAAAGCCTTTACTACATGAAAATGAAAATTAATGAATACACTGTGTACAGTAATTTACCTGATAAGACAGACCTCAGAAAAATACTTTATGAGGCATAAAGCTGTTTATAATGAAAATTAATTAACTAAGGATTTTTTTGCCCTGTCAGATTGTGGCCGAGTTATCGAGACTCTACTGTAATATTCCTACAAATCAAACGTTTGGATGGTGCTGCCATCTTGTATCTAAAACCCGAAGGTTTCCAAATATTCGTCTATATCTAAAAAAATAATTTACCTGGAATAAGTACCGAATCCGTCGTTGTGGAAACTGTTGTAAAACTGGTTTCTGTACTTTCGTTATCAACGGAACTGTCATTTGTAATAACTGAAGATGGGTAAAAAGTAAACTTTGCAGCCTAAAAATTATAAAACAAGGAATAAAAAATTTCAAATAATTTAATTCTGAAAAAGCTTATTTAAAAATCATTAAAAATTTTTTTAAAATCAATAAAATAAGTAGCAAGAGAATTCACATAAATGGATTTTGTGAATATTTCTAATGATCTTTTTTATGAAAAAATTGTAGTTTTTTGAATTTTCCATTTGTGTTTTTTGAATTGAACAAGTTTCTGGACATTTTAAATCTATAACCAACGAGGAAAAGTTAAATTTTATCGAATTATTCCAATATATTTATCTGTTTCAGCGATTAAGACTTACTCAAAATCTAAAAATACATAACAAATAATAACCAAAAAACATTTAATCATTATCAATAACAACGTTTCATTTATTTAAACAATGAAATTTCAAACCAAATTATAAAAAAAGTTAAAAAAATAATAAAATTGACCCAATGCAAAGGAGGAGATTCGTGGATTTATCAAGATGATTTCTTGAAGGATTCAATTTTCTAGAATTCGAAAACCCACTCCCTATGTAAATTCCGCATATTATATTTAAAAATAAAACAAAATTATGAAAGTTTTAGTTTTAAAATTAATTCTCGTACAAAGAAATTTGCGTAACGTTTCTTGTAAAACGATATCCTTAAAAATATTAATTGAAATATCAAAAACAACGGAAATGAAACACCACCCTTGGAATAATTTATATGGCGATCGCCCTTGACATCTAAAAAATCCGTTATGATCCATTTTATGCATTTATAATTAGATTACGCCATAAATATATTTAAAAAATTAATTCATAGACAGAAATGACACCCAAAAAATTCATATGGACAAAGGGAGGGTGAGTCATTTTGGAATCAAACACATTAACGTGACAGTTACAGTATAATGTATCAATAAATACATAAATTTATTCATCACTTTACTTGTTTGAATTTGAAGAGTCATAGTTTCAAAGTTTCAAGTTAATGAAATTCCAAAAACTTATTAACTAACACATAATTCTGTTCGCTTATTAATTTGATATTAATTGTTATAACAGTTTATGTACTGACTGCTCATAGTTTGTCCTCCTAGCTATTTAAAACATAGTTTGTAGGCACAGAAAGCATGTTTTACGCTTTGTAAGCTGTATTTTTAAATATTTTTTATTATTAATTATACTAAATACAATCATGAGCTTCCTATTAAATGACGTATTAAGTTATGCTTCTTACTTTATGGTATATTCCAAAACATCATTTTTTGAAGGAAATAAGTATTTTTTAAGGTAATAGATATTTATTAAGCTGTCTTTGCATTTCATACGCTCTTTTTTTGTTTTAAGTTTGATTTAACAATATTTTCAAATGAAAACATTATGCGTTTTATGATCGATGCTTTTAATTGAGTTTCATGCTATCAAGTATCGTGAATTGTATCAGTAAAAAAGCATTATAACCTTTATGAAAAAATNGTAAGCTGTATTTTAAATATTTTTTATTATTAATTATCCTATCATGAGCTTCCTATTAAATGACGTATTAAGTTATGTTCCATACTTTATGGTATATTATCATCTTATGCTTCCTATCTCTTACAGGAAAGTTACTATAAAGTTAGGTTTCATAATTATGTCCCCATCTGATGACATCATGGTGTATTAAGGTATTAAGATACATTATGCTCCCGATTTTGTGGTATGTATATTATGCTCGTTATTTTATGGTATATTGTATTTTGCTCCCATATTATATATCATAATTTTATCATTAGTACATAGCCAATTGTCATTCTATATGGTATTCATATAAAAATTCAAATCATTACAGTTAATTAAATTTGAGCTTTATGTAAATTAAATCTAATTAACATTAATTATGCTATAAAATATATAAACAGCATATTTAATTTGATTTAACCTTTTATTCAGCCATTTGGGTCGTACACAACAAGAAGTCGAGGAAGTGAGATAGAAATATCCACCATTACATTCTAATTTCCGTTTATTTATCACATTCTAACAAGAAATGAAATGGAGGAAATATTTAACACTTTCATTTTAACCCATTTCAAATTTTATAAAATTCCTAAAAATATTTCACGACTTTAATTTACTATTAATTAGAATAACTTCAATCAACAATTACATAATTGTTTTTTACTTATATAATCATTAAATAATATGTTTTTTAGATATTATTTATCACATCATGGTTTACTCATCATCTAAAAATAATTATAAAGTTGTTTTTTAAATATATTTATTACTTTTCTTCCAAGAAATCCATCTTGAAATTTGATTCATCTTCTCAAAATTACTCTAATCATCATCAAAACAGGTAAGAATTGATGAGAAACCGAAGATTTTTTTCCTTCAAATTCGCCAAAAACATAAAATTTTAAAGGAAAATGCCAGAAAAATCGCCTGTTTTTTCTTTTATTTTCCTTTGTTTTTTAAGTAAAAGATTCCATAAAATCTCAAGTTTTATGAAATTGTAAATCCATCTTGAAATCCAATTCACACACTCGTAATTACTCTAATCATCGACAATTAATAAAAGTCAATAAGGAATTTAAGATTTTTACCAAAAAATCAAGTTTCTTTTGTAAAAATTTCAAAAGCAAATTGTATTTTTTTTTCTTTTTTTATGATTCGTGATACAATTTCGTGATAATAAACTTATCAAAGCAATACATGTACAGCGGATTGTATACATCAGCACAGATTTTTTTGAATTTATCTTCTAAAAACACCAAATAATCAAAAAATAACTGTAACAAGGTTAGAGATGCTCGATACTTTTACTTGTCACGACTTGCGGCTTTCTATATTTACAATTATATTTTTGTATAGAGATGTTTTTGTGGTTCATCAGTATCACCGTTACCGCTCATAAACTCGTAAAGATAACTCGATTATTTACCTTTTATCAGTTATATGACACTTATCAACGCCAGACAATAAATTTGGATTACTTTAAGGTTAATTCTAATTAATTTCGATTGTAATTAAAGCGCATGATCTGTACATTAAGACACATTCTAGTGTTTAAGGATGGTTCTGGTATTTAGAATGGATTCAAGTATCTTGTTAACGGAACTTAAAAAGGATTTATAAATAGAAATTTGGGACGAAGTAACTTAACATAGATCTATTCTTAAAATAATTAAAGTAAAATAGCGATGAGTAATATAAGTTTTATATATAACAATATATATTATTACCTAAACAAGCACATTCTAAAAACCTTTGCCTTTGTAGATCAAAGTTCATTTAAACTTACCTGGTAGCACGAAGAGAGCAACACAATCAAGAAGGGGGTGTAGATAGTCACGTGGTACGTGCGACACATTATACAACAAAAATAAAGCAAAACATTAAACGGGAGAGAATATTCTATTTAACTAAACGACGACATTTATCTTTACTCTCTTTCACTCTCTGGGAGAGCGGAACTTTGGGCAACTTCCGTAGGAGTGACGTGCTTTCCGAAAAAAGCACGTGTTTCCTGTTTGTAGGGCCAGGTGGAGACACTAAACTATTACAAGAACTCTCGACTTCTCTCGATCTCACGGTCACGTGAAGCGCGATACTTAACGTTTCGATACGCAAATATTATATTAGAAATGTTAAATAATTGACAAATATCTTTTTATCTTATCTTTTCCAACTGATATTATATTATTATATTTTATTATTAAAGGAATAATAATTTTGGTTTCAATTCCGCTTTGTAATGATTACAAATGTAAAAATATTATACGTAAACTTTATGATTTCATTGCGTAGTAACATTTTTTATTATAAAATATAACATATACAATATAGATTTAATAAAATTATATTGTAATATTTTTTATAATTATGTTAAAATTATTTATTTAAAAAACTTTTTTGAAAATCGTTTCATTTTTCGTTTAAAAGTTTATTATTTTTTGTTCTCTTTTAAAAAATGTGGTGCTTCCATCTAGCGGTAGAGAAAATGTGTAAATGTGTTGTGTTATGTTTAGAATTTCAAGAAGTTGAATAAGATTTAAAAATAAATACGCTAAGAAGAATTGCTAAAAATAAACAATATTTTAAGCGAAATTTTCTTTAATTATGCTTTAAAAAAGGAATTATTTTCATAGTTAATTAAGTTAAGATGTCATGAATCAAAAAGCTTGACGTAATTAATAAAAATAACATTAATTTCAATTTTAATTACTTTTGTTTATGATTATAATTTATGAGTAATAAATAATTACTTTATACTGCAATATTAATATATTTTAATTTTAGAAATTAAAATTAAAATTCGGATTTAAATATTGCGTGTATAAATATATTACAAAATTCTAATGTTGACTACTAGATGGCAGAAATACGAAAATTTAAATTGTTTTTAAATGTTATTTTAAAATGAAATTAAAATATTATTTAAAATATAATAATTAAAATTCTGTTATAAAAATTTATTTAATTTTAAAAGTAATATTAATATCAATGAAAAATAATTAATTTATCAAAACGACAATCTGCAGCAAAACGATATGATTCATTTATTACATAGATATTTAAAAAATAAATAACTTAATTATTCATCTCAAAACTTTTATTTAAATAGCATTTTCAAATATTTAAACACTTTATAAAGCTGATAAATGTGTTTATTTTGGATTTAAAAATTTAGACCAACGTCATCAAGACATTTTTTTTTTTGTTTTATCATTTTTTAAGTAACGTATTTATTATTATTTCAAATTATATAAATGTTATTAATAAATAAGTCATAGACAACTTAAAGTTAATTTAAATTTTATTAAATTCCATTCAGTTAAAAAAATATATCATAGACATCGTTCAATCATAGACATCGGAAATAAAATAACATTATTTTCGTTTTCAATATTCTTTTAAATATTTTAAAGGAAAAATGATGAAAAATTACGGTATTTATTTATAATCGAATTTAATGTATAGAAATTTCAATAAAACATTAATAAAATGATAAATGATGTTGAACAATGCAAAATTATAATACGTTTTCGGAATATTTCCTGGAAATTCGAGTATTGTGCCCTTAAGTAACCTAAACAGATGCAACAACATTTAAAAAAATCTTTATGAAACTCGTTAAGTAAATAAGAAAATTTATTAAGTTTGATATATTAATAATAATAATACAAAAAAATATATTGAAGAAACGTAACAATTGATAAATGAATGCACGGCTTTGATATACGAGAGAACAAAGTCTATTTTTTATTATTATTAAATTATTATACAGTACTCGGTCTGATTACGTAACAAAATAATTTCCGTTTAATTCAAATTTAATATTTAAATTAAAAAAAGGAATTAAATCTTTTAGAATTTATTTTTTAAATTATGAATTTTCTTTACGCTTCATTTATAAATTTAACTTTCCTGCATTCTTTTAAACGAGAAAGAAACATCCGGTCGAACTTGACAAACACAGCAATCAATCAAACCACTTAACACCTTCCGTATTGGGTTTTGAGTTTTGTTTATTATCATTTAAACCAATTCAAATATGTTTCAAACGTTCACTAACAGATGGCGACACTTTAAGTATAAGTTTAAACAAACCATACTTTTCTTTTTAATTTAAAAATTAAATTTAACTAAACATAATTGAAATTTAAATAAGACAAGAGACACGTCACTTTTTATAAAACGTGAGAAAACTTTAAAATTTATAAAAATGTTAAAAAATGATACCAAAAATGTTAATACACACTTAATTACGCGAAAAATTAATAATTGTGTTTAGTCTACATTTAAGTTTAAGAAAATAAAACAAAGAAACAAAAAAAATCAATTTTATTAGAATTAATGACCGTTGACCTCAAGGTCAGCTATTTTAAAATTACACAAGTGAATAAAGTAACTTTCACTTAACTGCAGACAGCAAACAAACAAAATTAACAAATGAAAACGTCTGTTAGTCTGTTCGCAAACACTAAAAAGTCTAATCAAAAGGGTAAAATCCTCGCGCATTTTTCACACCCCCAAAAATAAATTTATATAAGAATATTTTCATAAAAATTCGTAGATTTAAATTTTCTATTTTGTACACATCTAAAAATACACGCGTTTAAATAAATACTGAAAAAAAAAATTCCGGGGGATTTAAAGAGTTATCAATTAGGAACCATTAGGGGGTGGGAAAGGAAGGAAGAAGAGACGCCAAGAAGGCATCCACTTAATAAATATTATTCTAAAAATACAAGTTACACGCGCTGGCTACTACAGTAACAGAATATTAAAAAAATTAGATTTTTTAGATGCAAACTTGTTATCAATTAGCCGAATCGTTGAGATGAGAGGGGAGGAAGAAGAGATGCCAAAAAGACACCCGTTATTCTAACAATTCTACTTACTATTATAGTATTAAAATTTTTAAAAAATCGACAAATTTTCTGACTTTTTGAAGCGCAAACGTTAAATTATCGTACATAAATCTTGTATAATCGAATAAATCTGTCAAGACGTTACAACAATGAATAAAAAGAAAACAACTACAAAGTGGACTTCTCGGAAATGCATCTAACAACACTTGGCACGTTGCAGACGGAAGTCTTCGTCTGAGAATTCATCTTGGAGCCCTTTATTTGTTTACTTTAATCGAGTTGTAGTCAGTACGACTGACTCTTAACTTGGCTTTTTTCTTTTTATTTTTTATTTATTGCGACTCGGTTTTTTTAGATTATGACAAAGTACCTTGTTATCGTTTAACCTTGTATCCGCTACACAACAAGGTCTATATTAGTTACTACTCGAACACAGTGAACGGGCGCCAGTAAACTCCTGAGAACAGTTACACTATGTGTGACCTATTTTATATGAATCGTTGCCTTTGACCCCTACTTTGACCCCAAATTTGTCACTCGTAAAAAGATAAATTTAGATTTCAATTGATAGAAAAAGATTATTGTTCGACACCCCGTGTGTTAAACACAGTTTTCTTTTGTCTAATACAATTGTTGCTTGTGTTTTTACAAGTGAGAGAGTTAAAAATAGTCGTAAATTTCTAAAAACGTAAGCACCCTCATCAATTATTATTATTATTATTAATATTATCATCATCGATTGCGTTTTTAGATGTTTATCAATTTAAATTACTTCTATTTTTGTTTTCTTATTTAATTCACACGTATCTAATAATACAAACATTACTTAACAAATACTTATCATATATCATTACTATTGTTTGTTCTTCTAAAAGTTCAGTTAATTAAAAAGTTCTTTAATTCATTATTTCTAAAAACGCAAAAACATCTTATAATGTTATTGCATGTTTTTTTTAATTAATGTTTACATACTTTCAACTGAAGTTTCTAAAAATGCAAGAACTGTTGTGCATGCATTATCATACCCTACAGTTATTTATGTGTTTTGTTTAGAAATTTACGACCTAAAATATATACTAGTAAAATTCTAAAAAACAAAACCACTACTCTACAAGGTACTATTGTTTGCGTGTTTTTGAAGTTTAAGAGATAAAATTATATATTTTTAATTCGTAAATTTGCAAAACGTAAGCCCTGTTATTCAAAAAAATCCGCATTATTATAGGCTGAAAGTTTTCGAATGAAAATTATTTTTGATTCAAATGTCTAAAAACACAAATACTGTCAGATTAAAATTGTATTCATTATCGTACACTGTTATTTTAGTGTTCTTTTAAAAGTTTATGAAGTAAAATTTTTATATATTTTTAACTCGTGAACTTTTAAAAACATAATCAAATCATTAGGCTGCAATTTGAAAAAATTGTAGACATAAATTCTCACTGTCGTCCGTCCGGTTGTCTGCCTTTCCTTAATCTTGAGAACGGAATGAGAAAGATGAATGACGAGACTAGATATGGAAATAGTAGAGTAAGGAGGCCCCAAATAACTATATATGAACTTCCGACGCAAACCAGAAATCACGTTATTTCAATTCAAATATATTCCCCTTAAAGCAGTTAATTGATGACAGGCACGACTCTATTGTTAAAGGAAAAGTATGGTGCACAGGGGCAAGCCACAACTAATTTGAGGTGGAGAGCATATATTTTAAATTAAAAAGATTAAAAATATGATTAAAAATTGCAGCCCGGCATTTTGATGCTATAAGAATAAATAATTGCTCGTTAATTATTAGTTTTTGCGTTTTTTTTTGAATTAATATTTATATGCTTTTAAAAGCGAATAGTAAAAATGCATCGTCCTAAATAAATTCCTTCTTACGTTAGATATTTATGAATTGAAATTATTTGCATATTTTTAATTGATAAACATCTAAAAACACAAGTACCACTCAGTAAATCCTAGTCTCTTATAAAGTTTATAAATGAAAATCATTATACATTTTCTAAAACACAAACAATTATCGTTTTGTTTGTGTTTTTAGAAATTTGATATAATTTTATATTTTTGACTCGTGTTTCTAAAAAAACACAAGCATGGACATACTAAAATTATATATACTGTCGTACATTAATATTATTTGAACTTTTAGAAGTTTGTAAGAATTATTATATGTATTTTTAACACGTAAACTTCTAAAAATATAAGCCTTATCATTCTAAAAAATCGAGTATTAAAGATCGGTAACATTTGTATTTTTAGAAGTTTATAAATGAAATTTATATATTTTTAGTCGATAAACATCTAAAATCAAAGCGCTGTCATTCTAACAAATCGAGCACCGCCGCGGACTATTGGTGTTTGTGTTTTTATGAATTAAAATTACTCTATTTTCAACTGAAACTTCTAAAAATACTAGCGCTATTATATATGTCTTATTATACATTACTATTGCTTGCCATTTTGTTAGAAATTCGTGATAAAAAAATATATTTTTAACTTGCAAACTTCTAAACATCTAGTTAGCAATTAACTCAATTTTCAAAGGTTAAGGTAATTTTTAGAAAGAAGTAATAGCCATTATGTTTAGACAAATATAAAGAGAAAATTCATTAGTATTTTTTCTTCTTAAAATTCGCATTTACGTTTCCTGAAATGTAAAATATAAAATGAAAACAAGGGAGAGAAAATATGAGCTTTGTTTATTAATTTAAAAAATCAGGTCGAATTATCGGAAAGGAATATAAAGAGACGTTAGAGACGTGGCCTAAAATTCTAAAAAATTTATTATATCGAAAGAAAATAAAACGAAATTCCCAAGATGAATATTAATAAGTCATAGCACCACTCTAGAGGGTCATTTAACGTTCTAAAAAAAGCTATTTTTGTCGAATTTTCAATGCCTTTCTACTAAATTAAATTTCTCTGTAGGATTTTTTAGAATATAAATAAAGCAATCGTATATCACTCTATATTGTATTATAATTAATTTCCTTAAAGTTACGTCCTCAGAGTAACGATTCTTTAACCAATCGCTAGCTGTTTTATAAAAATAAACATGTAAAAATCCTTCCATTTATTACACTTTACCATAAATGTCATCGCGTAAAAAAACACCTTTTACCTTGATAACGCGTAAACAATTCGTGAGATGCTTTATATAGTATTAACACATGAGAAAAACTGAAGGAAAAGACTTAAAAATTTGAAAATTAAAAACAAAAAAACATCTTATTCTCTTGGAAACGTAGTCTCACTTTAATAATATTTAATGAAATTTCTATTTTTCTGTCATTAATTATTTAAAGAGTTTTGTGTGCTTTTAAATTCTATAAAATTTCTCAAAAATTTTTTTTTAAGTGTGAGCTTGCCAAAATTCATCTTCGTACATCTTCCAAATTACTGGAATTTTGATGAGTCAGACATTCATTCATTCTTGTGAAAGTAATTGAGTTTTTTGGGTAATTTTTTCGATAAACAAACAGAACGTACGGTTGAATAAACTAAAGCGCAGTACAGGTTATTTTATGCTACATTCGGGCGACATTAAAACTGCTTTTTAGTGACGTAAGTGCATCAAAAAGAACACATTTGATAGACAGTAACACCAGTAGCAGTTACCTGTTTCTGGAATTTGCATACCGTAGAGATTTTTTAGAAGGAATCTTGGATACTTTGAAGCGTAAATCAAGGAATAGGCTAAGTGCAGCAGCTGATTGTAAAAAGTCGGGTGATATTTAGGCCACGTGGATCTAAAAAAATTAATTAATTTACTGAGCAGATTTCTCTTATGTAACCTATTTAAAGCGCAGATTAGCATCAATTAGAGTATAGAGCATTTATAACTTTATGAACTCATTCCCGAATTTGCTTCAAAAAATTAATTAACGTGTCGAGAGTGAAGCCAAAAACACGAAAAATGCTTGGGTTTGAATTCTTTTTGATTTTTAGACCAATGCGTACGTGCATTAATACAAGTTAATTAAATAAAAAAAGTGAGTTTTTTGAATTTGGTCCACTAAAAGGAATTTTTTTTGGACGAACAAAAATGACAATTTGAATGAGAGTAATCGGGTTAATGCGTGAAAATGGGATTGACACGCATTTAAGTGTAATTTACTAAAAATGCGCTTAGTGTGGTGTTGTCGGAGACCACGTGACGCTCCAGATAGGGTGAGCCGAGTCACGTGGTGCGGTTGAAAGTATAGAGGTCGCTTTGGCGGTACAAGAACATAGGGGTTGAGATTGTTAGAAGCAGTTATGATCGGGAGCTGTGTGAGTGCAACATGACTCACCTCACTTCTGTTAAGGTCCTCGTTCTTGGTAGCAAAAAAGTAGGAAAATCAGGTGAGTGTGTGTGTGTGTGTGTGTGTGTGCTGTCATTCTCTTCCACACTTTCGTTTTTTGTTTACATTGTTTAATGCAACTCCTCCTCTTAAGAAATTGAGCCATAATTATGGGTATTTACTTTAAAAAACGTATATAGCTCGGACCTAATTTGCTTGGTTAGAAACGAAGGTCAAACGAGGTGTGAAGGTCTTAGAACGATGCCACAGTAACCTACTAGGGGGGACTTTCTATATAGGTCAAAGGGGTGGAAGTACTATCCATTGAAACGATTCACGTGACTTCTATTAGGGTCAGTATAGTTATTGAGAGGGTCCAACTTGCGTCACACGCGATCCAAAGCTACAAAAGATGTTTTATGGGGTCAGGGCTAGTATTGTGCTACGAGGAAGCTAAACAGGAGACCGAGTGTTTTGGGCCAAGTTTGCAAAAATTAAGGGTATAATAAATAGCAACTAGTGTATTTTTTAGAAATTTTTTCCCCTAAATTTAGACAAGAATATTTCCTCCCTTCTTAAGTTTAAGTTTACGTTATACTCGCGCTAACATTAATAACTGACTACCAAGAACCATAAATCACCACATCCTGCCTAGAATACGCTACTGTATATCACATACTTCACTAGTATTTTGGCAACTTGCCCACGTGTTTATAGCAAGTTTAAGGATCGTGTTTTAAGGATCGGTGGTGCATTTAACACTGCGAAAACTTCAACCCCTCCAACACCAGATTGAGAGAGAGTAACGTCCTTAAACGAATTGAACATGGCAAAATATACTGGCGAAGTAACACAAATCGATACCAAAGTCTGCCACTCACCCTCCCCTTTCCCCTGTTAAAAGTTACATTGACAATCTGATACCACCCCCGCGTGTTAAAGTGGAGCCGTGCCGTTGCTAAGGCGATCGTGTTGACCAAACTGAGGGGGACGAATGTTTTATTTAGTCGAATTGTAAGTGTTGCAGCAGACAAAACGACGGTAATTTAGGTTAAATAAATACCCTACTCTTGACATATAACCCTATTTTAAACGTTAAAATAACTTTTTAAAAGCGTAATAAATAATTTTCGAGCATTTATTCGAGTGTTTTTTCCCCCTTGGACTCCATTGTTTCCACCCCTCGACTAGACTTCAGACGTTTCGAAAATTCGATTCTTGAAGAAAATAATGAGGGAACGTTTGTTAACAATTTAGCAGTTCGTTGAACTTTACGCGCTGTTTTTTTCGTGTCTCGATCCGGTCGAGGAATGACCAACTTTGCTTCCGGTTAATCGAAAGTATCAGTTTTACTTCCGGTTAAATGAAGAGATAAGCTTATGCTTCCGGATATGAGAAAGTATCGGTTGCGCTCCCGATTAATCGGCGCTAGTTTGGATAACCGGATAATACGAAGTGAGCGTTTCCGGATAATGGAGAGGCTAGCTCTTCAGCTAGGTAGTTATTGTAATCTGTTATATTATTTAAAGGAGCGAATATGGTTTAGTTCAATTAAGCAAAGTCTGTTTCCGAATAATCGAGAAGACAGCTGCACTCTCCTATAACTTGTTTCATATACTGTACTGGACAGTTAATTAAGGCTGTGGTTTCTTTCGGTCCGATCACGAAAGTTACGCTGCTGGATAATCGAGTTTCGATTAATCGGCCAATAGCTCATTCCTGTCGATAGGACTCATAACCACGAGTTAAGCGAAAAGATTAGTATTTAAATAACCGTTAAGCGAATAATTTAGCGTTTTCTAAGTGCCAGATAATCGATAAAGCCCGCTTTTCTTTGGTGTAGTTGAAGGAGGTCTTCACTACATCCGGTAGATCGAATGCGACTTCACTTTCGGATAATCGAGTGCCAGTTCCTGTATTACACGAATCGCGGAACTCGAAACACTACTTATAATCACTCCCCCCGCCATTCTTAAACACAGCTTTCTCCGAATCTCGACACTTGGCACGTTAAGTGTGACGAAAGCAATTGGACAGATCTTATACCTTATATGTACAGTACTTTCACTCCCTCTCTCCATTGAGAAAGAATTATGGCATTTCCTTTTTAACTAATTTGTTTATTTTCTAAAAAATTCCAGATTGATATTATCCAAAAAACACGCACACTCATGGTGCCTTTTTTTTTTGTTTATTTCGCAGCTGTGATAGTAAGATATCTCACCAAGCGCTACATAGGAGAATACAGATCGAATTCAGGTAAGAAGAATGGGGTTGTGCATTATTAATTATCTAAAAACACGTAACTAAAGTAGGGTGATATTTTTTTCGAATAGTAAACGTAAATATAACATAATAAATAATCAAAAAAAATTTAACCCCTCTTAAGTTTTTCGCTCGAACCGAATTAATGATTAGGGGGTAATTTTACACGTAGTGTTGGGCATTCACCTGTTTAGCTCATTCGATTTGATTATCTTTTGGAGCATTTGTTAATCCCTTTTGTTACGCTGCTGTGAACACAATGGCTTAGATGAAGCTGATGTAAAAAATTCGCTCGACAATAGCCTTTCACGTCATTAATTATCCTCCCTATGTTAAACATTTATTTCCTATCATTATTCCATTTTTTTTTTTTTTGCATGACGTTTTCCATTCCTTTTTAGCTGATAAAATGGCGCTTAATTCTGTTGTTATTTTAAGAATGAATTTTCGATTTTTTTGCATAAAAGCTTTTTGTTGTTACACGTGTTGCTGCACGAAGCGTAACGTTATCGTTAGCAAAATACATGCAAAACTTCAAAAAAAAATATTTTTTTTAGCTGCTAAAATAGCATTTAATCCCTCGTTTTTGAAATAATACGTCAGTTTGTTTGTGTAACAAAAGCAAAACAAAAACTGCTTTGAGTACATTAGCATTTTATTTCTTTACGCGATAAATGTGTGTTTATTTTTTAAATTTTTTAAAAATTAGTTACGAAACGTGTTTTTTTAATAAAATAGGCATTAAATGTGTGTGTATTTTTTAGATTGGATGTACAAACAAGCCATAACGTGTGACGATACCGCTACAAATGTAGAAATATTCGATCTTTCTAGATGGTCGGTAAGTAGCACTCTTTGTGTTTTTGAAATCAAAAAACGCACTATTCAATGCTTTAATCCGACTTTAAACTAGCACAATACGCGAATTAAGTGTAATTAATCATAATTTAGAGCATTGGATGTGCGCTTGTTGAAGCCAAATAAGGCTTTCACGTGTTAAGAGAGTTAAACACAGGATGTTTTTGCAATTTACACAGGAGGAAGAATACTTTCCAGTGGAACAGATACGATGGGCCGATGCCGTAGTGGTGGTGTACAGTATCTGCGAACGATACAGTTTCAATTATGCTTTACAATGCTTAGAAGCCGTACACAAAGTGAAAGCACCAAGTTACATTCCAATAGTGTTGCTAGGTAACAAAAGAGACTTGGAACACGGCAGGGAAGTGAGCGTCGACGAAGGGCACGAGCTCAGTTTGCAGTTAGGATGCCAATTTTACGAAGTGTCCGCGGCGGAGAGCTATGTGGGTGTTAATTTAGCGATCCACTCGCTGATACGAGAAGCTCGGACACTACAATTGCAGCGAACTTTGCCACGTCACAGAAAACTGAGTATCATCACGGTTTCTAAGGTGTTCGGTGCTGTGTTCGGCAAGAACAATGCCAAAACTACGACTAGAAAAAGGAGAACGTCGTTTTCTTTGTGAGGAAGAAAACGGGTGCCAGACAGACGGACGAACTTTATTCTTTTTGTTGAAAGACTGCCAGAAGCGTCCTTTAGTTCTGTTTGTCTTGGTATAAAAATGGACGAAAGCCTGTGTGCCTTTCGAGCTTCAACAAAGACATTTGTGACACTATCCTTTGTCTTATGTACATCTTCACTGCTGTGTATATATTCTCGTTTTAGTTGTATAGATTTTTCTATATTGTATCTAGTCTTCTATTGTACAGAATCTTTTGTAAATAAAAGGAAATCTTTTAAATTTTGTATTGTTTCCAGTAAATTTAACATCCTGCTTAACGGGAACGTGCCTCTTTTTACTCGTTTGTCACACTTTATGGCTTTGGAATTGCTGTTGTTGCATCGTGTCAATTTGCCAAATTTGCTAATAGTTTTATGAGGTTATTTGCCTCGCCATTTTCTTTTTCGTTCATTAAATTTTGGCATTTTTGGCCGTAATTTAAGCATTACGCAATTAAAATTGCGCTCGTCGCACTATTAAGTATTTGTGATAATAAGCTTTTATAAACGCTAACACCTAAAAATTGCTTATTCCGGTGTTCATGCACTATTAATCAACCGGTAGGTCGCGATCTATTGTTAGAAGCAAACGCGAGCAACGAGGTTTTATTTTCAACTGGTGGCTTTCGATTTGTATGTTAAAAAAAGGGCTTGAGTAAATCAGTATTTTTGATCTTAAACTTTAAGAACAAAAATTCGAGTATTCGCTATAATGAGGTAATTACAAGTTTCAAGTTATTCCTTGTATTGTTTTCTGATTGATCGAGTTTCAGGATGATCAAGGTGAAATTCTTCGATCAGGTGTCAATCAATACATACGAGTTTTCCCAATAACAGTAAAATGATATGGAGTTCAAATGTAAACACAATCTCTAGTGACAATTTATATACCTTACATTGTGTATTCGAGTAACCCAGATCGGTCTTTTTTTTTTTTTTTAATTTAACTAATTTAATGCTAAAATTTACAAAATAGCTAAAAGAAATTATCTGTAGTAAAGACATACTTTAATTTAGGATCCAAGATTTATCAATGTTAACAACACGCACACGAGATTAATTTAAATAATAAAGGTTAATATTTATATATACAACACTGTTGAATAATTAAAATCTGTTAGTGTTAAATTTCAAGTCTTCGTTATGTTCAGTGATGTTTGTTGTGCTTCCTATAAAACGCCTGTAAGAAATTTTGTTTAGGTTATCTGGAGTTATTCCGAATAAAAATATTACTTCTAGTATTTTTCATTGTCAAAAGTTTTGTTTCAGTCAAACTTCTAACCGTAGTGCATTAATTTATTTTTGACAAGAATTTAAAATTTTTCTATTATCTATAATTTCTTGTCTAATTTCTGCATGCTTTTCAGCATGTAAGAAAGAACTAATTTTCTTAAATATGTTCGAATTTTGTTTGATACAAGTGTAGAGAATTTTGTATATAAATAAAAATGAACGAAACCCATAACACTCCTGCTTGTACTAGTAAAATTCCGTATCAGGCACTCTTGTACATCATTTGGCTCTTATTAATGTAAAGAAATTGTTAAGTCTGATATTACATATATAAATACATCAGAATAGTTTTCTCACATGCAAATGCAAAACACAGTGATTCTAACATTGATTGATTGTTCTTGCTTATTTATATAATAAGTTTTTGGTAAATATTAAACAAATTGCGAAATAAACACAAATCAATATCTTATTGTCATTTTGAATTCAATGTAATAAAATTATTTCAATATCTTCTAGGTATCAGAAAACGTTTGCGACTACATCTGTCTCAAACTATCACCCGAAAAGTATAATAATTCACTAGCATCTACTCTAAATACCGTTTGGAAAAGTAAATATGTAAATGTCAAACAAAAACATCTGGGCTGGAGTAGAGAATGCTTTGGACCTCCAACTATAGTTAATGGAGAGTTTTGACAATAAGGATAAGAGAATGTGGATGCGTGTTACCCTATATTGAGATGAGATTCCTATCATTCACTAGTTTTGTTTCAAAGTGACATCATATTTTTTTGACATATCCGACAGAGATTTGTACTATTTACGATTTATATTATCAGATACGTTTGGGATATAAAACACTAAGTAATGAGATAAATGGTCTTTTCAAAACATTTGTTTGTGGATATCGTTTTGTTACAGTTTAAAATCTTACCAAGTGGATTGAAAGTGCAGAGTGTCCTCTCCTAATATCATTGATAAGCCCTTGCAAACTGGTTTTATGTCGCTTTGCTTAAAGTTGCAATTTTACCATACGCATACATTAGAAACTTGCGTTTATATCAATTAGCAATTGATATAAACGCAAGTTTCTAATTAAGTTCCTACATGTTTCTGATTACAAAAAGTAGCCAAACTTCCAAATAAAAACCCGAATCTAATATTAAACAGCGAAATAAATGTGAGTCATAAATACATTTAAGAACAATCAATAAAAAAAAATCTAGCAATGATTTGAGTAACTTTCCCGGCGTTTATGAGATATAATTAATCAAAATAAATAAATTGGATATGGCGCCATCTGTTGTCAGATTTTGTTAAAAATATAAAATTTTTATAATTAAAGTAGAGCGTCGATTATCCGAAAGTCAATCATCCGAAAGAATTCCAGTCGGCAAATTTAAATTTTCGCCAGTGCTGTGGCGCTGCAATCTTTGGCTATGTCTTGGGCTACTCAAATATTTTACGTTTTTTGATACTAAATTAACTTCTGAAGTATAATTTTTTATTGTTTTTATATTTTTCAATATATTTATTTTGTTCGTGCGTCTTCGTTAGGCTTAACATCGACTAAAATTCAACGCGAAGCGACACGCAACGGAGAAAAATGTCAAGATGGGATAAATTAATATTTTTTCCGCGCGTAATCGGTTATCCGAAACATCGATCTTCCGAACACCCGTCCCAATCGATTCGGATAATCGACGCTCTACTATATTATAAAACAGTAAAATACTTCTTTCGAGGGTAGAAATGAGTTTTTTGAAAAACTGTAAATACTTTAATGGAAATTTTACTTGTTAGCATTAAGTCCAACCCCACGCAAGATATGACAAGAGATCACCCTCTTACCTCAACTTCTCCCAACCAAAATTTAATAGCATCAATGCCTCTTATATACAGCTACTGTCCCAAATTTCATTTCTTAAACTTTACCCCATCCTGAAATATTAAACGAAATAAACACCAAAATAAACACGAAATTTGTTTTTTTGACTTTTTTGGGTTCAGAATGTCTATAAACGTGGAGATTTGCAAAGAACTAAGGGTTAAATTTGATACGATTTCAATACTTTCCTTGTTATGTGTAAGAATCTGGAGTTAAGGCAGATATTTTTTAAAATTATTTCAAATTAAATTCGATAAAAAAAATTTATCTATCTTTGTAAAAGGATGCCCTTCCTGATTTATGGAGAATAACGATTTAGTTCCTCCTGAAGTGATAGTTCGAGTGCAGTATCTCACTCAACTATCGACAAGACCGCCCGCTTCCTCATGTCAAAGTGTGGCGTGATATTCCAATGATGTTATTGAAGGTTAGTATAAAAGTTGAAAGGTCGCCTTCCAACTTACTTTCGTTTTGATACTCCTATGCAGTGATCAAGACTTTAGCCACTGCTCTCGTCTGACGTTTCTCTGGACGTCAAATATTTAGCCAATGCTCCAGTTTTGGCATCCTTGCCGAGTGCCCGAGACTTTAGCCATTCCTCCAGTTCTCAACTTCCAGTTGTTCGCAAGGACTCTCCACTATAGGTAATACTAGGGTTTTTGAAACGGGATTCCGGCTTTTTTTTTCTAACTGGGAAATCCCGCAAATTTATTAAAAGTTCACTTTTTTCTTATTTTGTGTTAAGGCTGAGGAAATTTTGCAAATAGAAAGTATAATTAACTCAAACTACCAGAATACATTTGTATTTTTAATTTTAAACCTACTTATTAGTTTTTTACATTTTTGTTCGTTACGGCATGTCACAAATGGTCAATAATAAATACGTAGCTTATTTGTGGCAGGAGACTGAAAATTCTTTATTTGTCAGAACCTGTAATATCTGGAATAACTGTGCTTAAGCTGTCTTAATTTTTAACCATGCCCAGTAGCTTCGGCAAATTAGGCAAGGATACAAACGAGTACGAAGTCTGTAAGTATGAAGTTTTTCTTCATAAATCTGATTATTAAAGACAAACGAACTGCCGAATTATTGGGCTATAAGCTTGATGTTTCTATTAAAGCGAGTAGACAAATCAAGAATACTAGAGAGCAAAAGAAGTACTACAATCTCGAAAACGAACTAGAAATTTCCAGGCTACAGGTGAAAAAAACAGATAAATCTGTCTTCTCTTAAATGCATTAATTAATTAAACACGATTCCACTCACATCAATTGAATCGGAAAGGGCATTCTCGGTAGCGGGACTTTTCATTACTAAAATAAGAATCAGATTGAGTGATTGGAGTATTGACCACCTTTGCTTTTTAAAATCTTAATACAAAATATTGTAAATTTTTATAATGTTTTATTTGAAAAACGAAAATTATCTTTTAAGTTAGAAGTTTGCTCTAAGTTCATTTCTTTTTAAATTTTCAACTCAATTCAAAGCATTTTTTTGTTGTTGTTGTATGCAGTTTCCAGCAAACTTTAATAAATTTTTTTCTATTTGTGAAAATTTCTACGTAATTAAAAGGTAATTTTTAATATAGGCCTATATCTTACAAAGTATTATTAATATGATTTTGGAGGTTGCAGAACGTATTAAATTACTTTAAAAAATGAAATCAAATGATATAATTATTCTTCAAGTTATTTTGTATATCTTAAAACAATTAATTCTATCCCGGGGATCCCGGAAAACGGTTCTTTCCCAAAATCCCGGGAAATGAGAAACATTAGGTAATACGATCGTTTTATGTAAACTCTCTCTTCAGGATAGACCTTAGTGAATTAGAACTAAATATCCTCGCATATTTGATTGTTGAACTTAACCATTGTTTTCTCCATTTATTTGTATATAAAATAGTTATAATCTCACAGAATAAAAATATAGTTATATGCTCATTCGTTGTTCAGTTGATTTAACGCTTAACTTCATCGTCGACCCACGTTATCACATAATTCACGAATTTCCCGTACTCACTTAAATCACGTATTAATTCAACCTTCCTTAAATCCTGGTAACCCAAGTTTACTTTGCCTTTTAGTCCGCGAACCAGACTAAATGGTGTCAGAAATCTTGTCGACAATCGGAGAGAGTTGAGTATTTGCGTACTAATCAACTTTCAACGATATTTAACGATCATCCTCAGTGAGACGGGAGGTATACTGGAGTCAACTCCGTTCTCACATTTTGTATACATAACTGCCAGGAAGTGAGAAGAGTTATTCACCCAGTTTTTGGTGAATCAGTATGTGTGAGCAATTGTCGTAATGATGAAGGTTGTACAGGAAACATCATCACTGGTGATAAGTAAAGATGAGTAATAAAGAATACGTGTTTCCAAAGAAAAAGTTACAAGGGATATCTCCTACCACCATACAATTCAAAAACAAACATTTGGCAATTCCAATAAATTATGCAAGAGATAGTATAAATTTAAAATGGCGAATGCAAACAAAAATTGTTTACAATTTACATTGACATTAAATGAGGTCTTGTGTGTTATTAATGCAGATTAACATTCAAGTGAAAATTAGATTAATCAGATTTCAAGAAAAGAATTCAGCTATTTTTCTTAATATATCATGTTAGCATTTAATTCCCATTTCATAGAATCAATTTTTCTGTTTATAAAGAAACTTCAATAATAATAGTTGCAAATGATTACAAATATACTTTCATTACATTGAACAAGACATTAAGTGAGGACTTACACTGTAGTTGAAAGTCATGTATTTTTCTTTGAGCATTACTATAATCAATAGATTTTTTATCATCAATTTGTATTAAGATGGCAAACTCTATTGCAGTCTAGCCTGCAATACATGATTTATATTCTTACAGTATAAAATCCATACACTTCTAAGTTTAGTCAAATCTTAATGTTCTTTGTTTTATTTATTATTAAGAAATATAAATTAAAACTGATGTTGTATTTAATAAAATAAATCAAAGCTTAAATATCAAATTACAACAGTATTTTATTTCCAATGAATTAAAATTTCAAATGATGACACTTGAATGTCGAAAACTATCTCTCTCAATAACTTTTTTGGTATGATTTTAGGTCATACAATTTCCCTATTAAGCAGAACTTAATAATTTACAACTACACAAACAACATATAAATGTAATTGCCAAAAGAAAACCTTGTATATTCTCAAATATGTTCTTCGCAATCACACAAACTATTTGATATTCTTCCTTTTTCTTCTATGTTTAACATTATGAAATAAATTTGTAACAACAATCCATTGAATAAACATTTTTGCTACAAATGTGTGGAAGATCGACATTTGACAAAATTATCCATATATATTATTTACATATCATTTTTTCCAGTAAAAAGTTTAAATTTTTCTTTTTTTCCTCTCTTATACTAGTTTATTAAAGTTCTAAGAAGCAAAGATTTTAGATTAAATAGTTTTGATGAAGTTTCCTATTGATATAAACAATAATAATACAATTTTGATGATCAAATATGATGGCAATGTCATGGTATAGAGTTCAGTCTGGTATATATTGCTAGATTCATGTGCTAAAATAAATTATGCCAGCAAGCTTTCTGCATTGCTATAAGGAAGAATTCTTGGAATTCTTTCATACAGCATGATTTGCAATACAAAGAAGAATGATAAATACTTAAAAAATTCCTATTTCCTAGAATCTATTGATGCTGAGAAGCCAAGATTTCAAAATAGTTTTGATATTAATGAATTATATCAACAAATTATGAAATACTACATTCACAGAATATAATAAAATTTATCATTAAATATTCTGTTTGATACACACTTCATGAATCTGCATCCCGAGATTCTAATCTGTAACATTTAAAATATTAAACAACAGAAATGCAGGGATGCTCCTCTATAAAGATAATTTTTAATTTTTTTTTTCTAAGATATAAATAATGACATCAGGAATGAATTGCAAACTAATAATATAATCATTAAGATTTTTTTCAACTGAAATATTTAATGATATGTAACAGAAATTGACCTATAATTAATTTATTCTTTTATCACATTATACTTCAAGATAAAAATATGAACAAAATAATATAATAATAATAATTTAAACAAGCCTTTTTTGCTGTATAAACTATATTTTAAAATTACACATTAATATGTATAACATATACTGATTAAAAAACTTGTACCGTGTTATTCCTATTCATTTATAATAGTTGCCAGTTAGTTACAGATAAACTTGTTGACTGCTCTAACACATGAGCAATCTGTTCAGGAATACCGTGATTTAACCAGAGTCGATGAAGTTCCTTATAACGTTCGTGACACAAATGAAGTGGATTTCCTCTTATTAATCCCTGATCTGTTTCACCATAATCGTCAACATATGGTGGTGGCATAAAACAACCTAAAATAATTATAAATAAAAGTTTTAGATAAAAAATATAGTGATGATATAATTAAAGTTTCTAATTTATACATTATTAATTAATTAAATAGAGGCGTATGATTATTTGTATCAATTATTCTATTAAGATGATCATTATTTGAAAAACATTTGACAATTTATTTGTAGAGCTATTCCTACTGTGAAATTAGAACGAATGCATTCTAACTAGAAAATATTCTCTCTTATGTAAACAACTAAAAATTATGCATATCACAAATTGTTACAATGTAACTCCAAAATTCTATACAATTTTTGAAAATTTTCTAATTTTATTATAAAATTCTTCACAAATTATTTCATATGAAAATTCTGCAGGATAAAATTCTGATGTAAGAATAAATTTTTCACACATGTCCTGCATTCAGATAAGAGTAGATAAAAATCTCTTCTTAAATACAAAATTCTGTCATATGGAAGCCATTTGTATAGAATAATTTATCTGAAAAATTTTTGTGATGAGCTAAAATAAATGTTACAATTTAAAACATTTTTTACTATTATTTTAAAATTTTGTTTGTTTTATTTCTGTAGTAGTTAACAAGAGCATAATTTATTTCAGATCAATTTCTGCATGTGTACATATTAAATTGTTTCTGGAAAACCATATCACATTTAAATCATTTTAATATTACCTTTAGAAATTTAGAAAGTTCTACATAACTAAATACAGGAAACTTATAATTTCATTGGGATTTTCTTTTGTTTTAATATATATGCATATCTAAAAGTTTCACTAATACATGATTTAATTCATAAATTAATTTATAAAAATATGAACTTTTTCCATTACTGCTAAAAGGATATATTTCTTTATTTTATCAATTATACGTAAATTAAAATGTATTTCTATAACTGAGCCATTGAAAGTGAAAGTGGTGAAACTCATTTTTCATCTGTATTGAGAAATTTAGACCTAAAGTTAAATACCAATTTAAAAATGATTGTGGATTTATTGTTACCAGTGGGTAAGTAATGTAAATATTCCTATTTCTAAAGTATGTAAATAATGCTGCCAAGAATTGAAACTCAGCAGCTTTTCAAAAACTGACATCATTTTCATTTTCAATGGCTCAATTAATAATCATATGCATCCTGTGCAGCTTTTACAAATTTTGATGACATTTAATATCATTAATGTCAGTGCATTTTTTATTACTATTGGGTTGTTCGGAAAGTAATTTCATTGTTTTTTACCACTAGATGGATTAGTCGTATTTTTCCTGCCATTTTCATTCTAAACCATATTATCATTATATATTTTGACAGCTAGCATTTTAAGGCTTATTTGTAAAAAATTTTGTTTGATTTTGTGCAATTGTTTATTTTTTGTGTCCCATCAAATATGGAAGATCAAAAGCAGTATTTTCAGCATATTTTGCTCTTTTATTACCAAAAAGGTAAGAATGCTGTTCAAGCGAGAAAAAATTTGTGTGACANTTCTCAAAAAATATATACGTATTTTGGAAATGTTGAGTCGGATTAGTCTAGAATCGATTAATTTTATGGAAGAAAACCTTTCAATCAGCCGTAGTCCGTAAACTTTACACGTGTCGGGCTGTGATTGGAACGACTCGTAAGAAATCGGATTCCTAAAAAATGGAACGTATCTATGATCTTATAGGGGGGGTCGACTGTATTCACACAAGTATATAATAAATAATAATTTGATTGATTCAAGCAACAGTGTATGAAATTAAGCTGAATAAATATAACTATCTGAATTAAATATCTAAATATGTAATATATAATAGTGAAAATATATATCTGAATGTTAATTCAATACAGTAGACCCCCCTATAACACTGTTGATAATTCCATATTATATGAATTCCATGTTGTACAAGTCACTTAGGACTTGTACAACATGGAATTCATATAATATGAAATTATCAACAGTGTTATAGGGGGTCTACTGTATCTACATCTGAACTATTTATATTGTATTGATACATACACATTAGAAAGCATACAAATATGAATGTTCAGTAGAAAAATTTTTTTAGACTTGCTATTATTGATGATAACCCTATACATAATTAATTTATCACTGAAAATATATGTAACAAATTTAATTATATAATACTTATTTTAAATAAAATTGATAAAGAATCTTACTTGAGAGCTAGCTGTTTCAAAGAAGATGACTTTAATATTTCACTGATGTAGATAGGGAGGCCTAGATAGTGGCATAAATGCTGATATTCAAATATTATAAAAATGAAACAAATTTTGTCATTACTGAATTATCTTTCCAGTACAGAATATTTCTAATATTAATCTTATTTTCAAGCTTTCAGCTTTTCTGGATTATACTATACATCTGCTGGCTTGAAAATAATCATCTCAGAACTATTAGTAACTAATTTATATAAAGTTGACATGTATGTTGAAGAAAAATATAAGCTATTTGTTGTTTCTGAATAGTGTTCAAGTTTTGTATTCACTCTTTTATATTTACTTAATAAATAAATAATCAATATTAAACAGCTTTTATCACTTACCTTTAGTTTTGCGTGCCAAAAGTAATATTTTGCAATCTCGTATACGAAGAAAAATACCCACTTCAGCACCACAAAAATGAGCATGATAAGTGCAGGCACCGAGCCTGTCATTTTCTAGTTCTGTTTGACAACAGTAACTTTGTGAGCACAAAATCTCCCCACATACAAGGCACATGGTTGGAGATCTGCTGTCATCACCATCAGAATTTGGACAGGTAAATAGCGAAACACCATTTATAAGTTCACTATAATCTGCAGGTAAATCAACTAATTGGTTAACAGTTAGTGGATGGATTACTAAACTGTTGGTGACAGATTCACTTGTTGAAACCTCTGTATTCTCACTCCTATTTCTTTTCATATTTAAAAGATGTAGTATTCTTGGATGTCTAGCCCAACTGAAAAAAAAGGATAAAAGCTTAAATATATATGTAATTATTTTAAGTACTGGAAACATTTTGGTTCATGTACTAGATACATAAATATTCAACTATAAACCAATTATTAATTTTATAAGAAAAACAAAAGTTTAGTTTGTTTAATAAGAAATTGAATTGAATTTTATTCAATTGTTATTTCAGGTTCATTTTCTGTAAGCAAAAGAAGTAAAAATTTAATAATTTTGCATTAGAAAATATATTATTTAGAGAATTAGTTCCCACAGTTTCATGAATAAAAAAAATTAGAAATTTTAGCCACATTTAACTTATTCCCAATTAAACTGAAAATTCTAAATTATCATCATATTCAGACTTGATGGTGGATTTTTTGCTATAAGGAAATAAATGGAAACAACATATTCTAAGCTAGAATTAGCGTGATTATATAACAAATATTTAGGCCATTATTTCTTTAATGTAAGGGGATAGCATAAACTTTTGTTACAACTTATCAATTTTTATGATAATTTTAAATTTAAATCAAATATAATTAACATAAATTCATATCTGATATCAACAATAGCTGATAATATTTCATTTTTATTTCAAAATTAAATTCCAATTTCCTTACTTTTATTTATCTTTTATAAATTGGACAGCATATAACAACTGCATTAGACTTACCTTATTATATATCATAAAAAGCAATAAGACAGCATTATCAGATATTCCCTTTCATGTTTTAGTAAACATATATTCTAAAATGTATTTTGAAAATATTATGGCTATTAGATCACCTAATATATCATGAAATAAATACTTACATGTATATGTAATTTTTTTTTGTTTGCCAAATTATAGTTCATAATCCACTTATAGTTATGGACATTTATGCTTCTCATTTTTTAACAAAAAATTTTGAAAAATATCTATACAGTCGACCCCCCTATAATTACGGTCCCAATAATTACGATTCCTATAAAACTGCAAAAAATTGTGACGGTATCCGTAAAAAACAGTAAAAACCCCCCCTATAGTTACATTAAACGTCATCGGGCAGCCGAACTACTTTCCCGCCGTCCGTAGCGCCACGCTACAGAGAGATTTCTATTGTCTGGACAGTATTATATAAATTATATATAAATTAGGTACTGTACATATAATTATATATTAATTATATATAAATTAGGTACTGTATATATAATTATATATTAACTTATTGTAACTTTGTTATAATTAAATATATAATTTCCGCCGTCTAGCGNTAGATAAAAAAAGAAACTAAACAAAGTAATGAATGGTATAGAGTTAGTTTGATTTTAGTTCCAAGAACAATAAATGAAGCAATATATGTATATATATATTTTTTTTTTAATTTAATTTTTATTATTTTTTCTTTAAAAAACGTATTTGGAATTCAAACTTTTCAACGCTCTTGCAAAATATCAATTTAAATTCTTTCATGCCTTTTGAATTTTATGGCTGTAAGACTAAATATAAATTTCGTTTGTTTGATTTTTTTTTTAAGTTGGAGGTTACAAATATAAGTCTTTTCTTTGTTCGAAAACTTGTTTCTTTGAACTTTATTTAATTAAAATTAATTGAATATTCGATGAAAATTAAATGAATTCTTTTTATTTTAAGGCTCGATTTTTTAAGATTTATAGTTTATTTTATAATAAATTAATCTATAAAATATATATTAAAAAAAATCACACAAAAATATCACAAGAAAATAATATATTTAAAAACTGTTTCATGCGTAAATTAAAGTTTATAATTTAAATACAGTCGACCCCCGCCCTATAATACTGTTGATTATTTCGTTTTATATGAATTCCATGTTATACGAGTCACTTAGATTTTACAAATACCTGAGCCGTTCACAGCCCGGCACACTTATTTGTAAAATCTACGTGACTCGTACGACATGGAATTCATATAAAACGAAATAATCAACAGTGTTATAGGGGGGTCGACTGTATTGCGTTATTAAAAATATATCTGAATGTTAATTCAATACAGTAGACCCCCCTATAACACTGTTGATAATTCCATATTATATGAATTCCATGTTGTACAAGTCACTTAGGACTTGTACAACATGGAATTCATATAATATGAAATTATCAACAGTGTTATAGGGGGTCTACTGTATCTACATCTGAACTATTTATATTGTATTGATACATACACATTAGAAAGCATACAAATATGAATGTTCAGTAGAAAAATTTTTTTAGACTTGCTATTATTGATGATAACCCTATACATAATTAATTTATCACTGAAAATATATGTAACAAATTTAATTATATAATACTTATTTTAAATAAAATTGATAAAGAATCTTACTTGAGAGCTAGCTGTTTCAAAGAAGATGACTTTAATATTTCACTGATGTAGATAGGGAGGCCTAGATAGTGGCATAAATGCTGATATTCATTACTATCTAACTGCTGTAATTGCTGTGGAGGAGGAATATCAGTAATAAAATGATAGAAAAGTGCACTACATCTTAGAAATGGTAGCATTCCTTCTTGTATGCATTGTACAATTTGTATATCAGATGGCATAGGTTTCTCTTGTGTCATTCCTGCTGCAAATACAAGTTCCTTATAGAAGTGAGATGTTACTTTCTCTTCAATATCTTGATTACTTTCATCACATGAATCTGTTTCCATTAGTTCTTCATCAGGAAACTGGTATGTGAGAAGTAATTGAACAAGATGAAAGACAAAAACTAGTTGTAAAATATGCTGATCTAAAATATTGCCCATAGGAAAAGGCACTGGTTTAGATGTAGATTTGGCTTCTTCATTACCAAATAAATTTGGCATAGTCAAAGCAAGGGATATTAACAAAGAGAAAGCATCAACTTCTATACAGCATTGTGGACTGTACAAATGATTTTCACTAAGAAGTAAAAAACGCAACAGTCTCACACCATGGCTTCGAATTGTTTGAGCATCGAATACTTGCAAACTTGAGCTAACAAAACGTATTATCGCTTGCAGACAGTTTGAATTGCGGGACGACAGTTCACCAAATAATGGTTTTCCCTGATCTCGAAGGAGCCATTCTATAGCATGAATTGTATAGGAACAGGACCACCAAGCAGTCAATGGTACACGATCATCATCTGGATAAGGATGGAGATTTAAACCAATCTATAAAAGTAATAGAGAATATTAAATTTTTGAAATATATTTTGTATTAGATAAGATTAGTTTCATAGTAGTTACTATAATTAAATTTTGAAATTAACAATGATAAATAATCCAAAGATTTAATACAGTGTGTCTGGACTGAAACTGACATTTTGAAAAACTATAAGTAAAATTAGATAAGAACTACAATAAAAATATGATATATGAGACTTGTAAACAAATACTAAAGTTTTGCAAAAGTTAGTAAATTCTATCTTTACTACTTTTTATACAAAATTATAAAATCTCCATATGTGCTTCTCCTATTGCATGGAGTATCCAAATAATATTCAATTTCCTGTCATGTGTTCGACAGCATTTGTGATCAAATAGAGCAACAGCTCCTATACAACCAAGGGACAAAAGTCCTGCAGCAAGCAAGTTTTTCGTATCTCAGTAACTTTGTTACTATATGAAAAAAAATCTAATCAAATTTTTATTACAAATTATTAATAAAATAGGAAGAGACATTCTTTTTGTTTTAAAAGACTGCACGTTTTATTATGAGATTATTTATTTTCACAGTGCAATACAAAGTAAAGAACACAACATAGACAAAAATCCTGCAACACAGGGAAACAGACAAAAGTCCTGCAACTTTAATTTTAGTATTGTGTGGCTCCACCTTTGGCCTTTAAAACTGCATTAATTCTTTGTGGCATGAACTAAATTAACTTCTCAGATTCTTAAACAGTAATTTCTTTCCATACTAGATGTATGTTTTTGTCTAAATCTTTCAAACTTAATATATATTTTTGTTTCAGTTTTATCTTCAGTTTATCCCATAATTTTTCTATGGGATTGTTGTCTATCCCATAGAATTGTCTATCTAGTGAATTGCCAGGCCAATCTAATGACATCTATTTCCACATTTTCAAAATATGATTTTGTTTTCTTTGTTGTATGGGTAGAGACACCACCCTGTTGATAAATGTATTCACTGACAAAAAAGTAATATTTAGCTGTTGGTATAAGATTTTCATCCATTGTTTTAATGTAAAGTGTAAATGTTTTGTTTCACAATTTGTAAGCCCCTAAGTCCTTAATTGGTTAAGGAAGTCAAAGAAGAAAGAAAACAAGAAGCAATAGGATATTCTAAGTTCCTATGTAATAAAAACTTAAATAACATCATGAATGAGATTGCAGATCATAAAAAAAAATTGCAACTGGTATTCAAAAGAGCATCCACCATTTACAGACTTCTTAGAAATGACAAAGAAAAAACAAAAAAAGAGGCACAAGCAGGAATCTATAGAATCTTTTTTTTTATATGGCAACAAAGTTACTGTGGTTCAAAAAAAATTGCTTGTTGTAGGACTTTTGTCCCTTGCTTGTATATGCACACAAAGATCATTGATGTCATTGATTCTGATGCCAGCATAAATCCTATACTTCAAATATCCACAGAAGAAGAAGAAGTCTGGAGGTGTAATGTTAGGGAAACACAGGAGCCATGGAGTGCTACTACTAACTATTCTGCATACCTCAATTAATTCTATGGAAACTTACACAGGTGCTCTTACTCATGCAATGAGGAAGAGCATTTATCTTTAGGCATTGAATTTTGGTAGCAATTAAAAAGCATCAGTATCAATCTGTACACACTGTATATTATTAGAAATACTTACAATATACGTAGCTTGAGAAAACAATTTCATCATTTCTAGTAAGCTTTCTGAGAATACAATATTCTTATTTTCCGTAAACTGATTATAGCATTCATATAAAGTACACAACTGTTCATATACTTCAGAACTTAAACTAGGAGCTATTTCTTCCAATGAAGCTGGTTTGTAATGAGTAATAAATTTTTCTCCACTGTCAGCTAAAATTTAAAAAAAAATAAAGAACAATTCATACTTGAAATTATTAATCAATTATATTATCTCAAAAATGTATAAAGATATCATTCATTGAAAAATTTATTTAAAGAATAAAATTAATGAATTTAATTATTGTAGTTTAAGTTAAGATAACCTAATATATAACAATACAATACATAAAAATGATTATTCAAGTAGTTTAGTTTTTATTCAAAGAGAGTAAAATGAATAACTAGATTTAAATTAGTTAACTCATACTCATTTAAAACATTCAAAAGCACTTCAATGATTTACTTGTGAAAACAACATAATACTATTGTTTCTATTTTAGCTGAGATAAAGACCACCATATTCAATTATATATTGAGAATACTTCAATAATATCACTGCATAGAAATATTTCATATAATAAATCTTAACTTTCATCTTCATTAGAACAGTTTTTGTCCACTGCTCAACTACTGTAGTGATTTTAACATGAAAGAATACTACAGTAGGATCTGCTTATTAATTAATTAATAATTTAGGGACTTGCCTATACTAATGGTAATAATTAATCATCATCATCAAACAAGAAAAGTAAATACAGGGTTCCTACTCAAATTTTTGTTTTAAATTCTGTCTTTCCCTGACTGACTTTGCACAAATTCCCTTACTCTCACATCCCTTACAGTATAGCATATTGACAAAATAAAAAAGCCTATTACTTACCATGCAAACATGCTATTGCTTTTTTGACTTTTTAATTAGTTATTTTTTCGAATTAATAGTTACATAATTTTTATATTTGCTCAATAATTAAAATTAAAAGTAAAATGTTTTATTAAATTAAAACAGTTTATCCTGTTATTAATCCATAACCATAAATTATGTGGTTTTGAAGAAGAAAAAAAAAACCATTATTTATTATTCATTAACAAATTCTGTATATATACAAGAGTATACATTTATTAAATTTATTTCTTAATAAATTTCCTGGACTTTATAAAATATTAAAAAACGGGGGAAATCAGAAATTGTTTTGTTACACAATCAAAATTATTAAAATAAAAAATGATAAATAATATCATTTAAATTAAAATTATTTATCATTTTTTATACTTTGTTATCAATTTTTTTTTTATCAGTTCATTAACTTCTGCCTTCAAACTGACAAGGGGTCTTGGAAATTCAGTTCGGGATAAGACTTCGCAGGTTAGTAGTATACCTCAAGGCTGTCCACCCAAAAAAATTGTAAAGCACACTAGCCAGAAGATTCCGACAAAAAGGGCTCTAAAGTTTTAAGCGCAGCTTATGTACTGGTCAATTTTACATTATGACAGCACAGCGAAATGGCTGATTCTGTAGCAAACTCGCTTGCCACGCGGGTGTAAGTCTAGATTTAATAAGACTTACTTATTAAATCTAGAATTGTAAAAAAATGTAAAAATTAAAATTAAATTTTGACTGACGGTATTTACATCAAAATATATATAAATAAAATATATCTAAACACATAATTGTCTTTGTGTTTATTGACGGAACATGAAGACAATTTTGTAGCATCAATATATTTTATTTATTTATATTTTGACGTAAAAATTAAAATTAACTCATTTCATATGATTTGCAAAGTTTGGAGAACTGCTTACAAACTTTTCACTGTAATAGTTTTAATATTCTTATTATCAACAGTGCATCTTTAATTAATCTTATTTTAAGAATAATAAAACCAAAAACTAACAAAAGAATCCTTTCAGCACAATTAAAACAGTTTTAACCATAATTTTCATTTTGTTATGATAAATCATTAAAAATATATAGTTAAAAGAAAAATGATAATGCCACAATTTGTCCTTTTTAACACCACAGGAACAAATCATAAAGCTAACTTTCCTCTTTTTAGGCTCTCTCCTGCCTAAACTTGTAGATTTGCTAAAAGAATTCCTTTAGCATTAGTTAAATTTTAAAAATTACAATTTGTACATTAATATTTTTAATAAATGTTTGTCTTAATTTATTAATAAACAAATGATAATTATTAAAACAAACTGAAGAATTGCTACAATATATTCATGAATTTATTGATATAAAATTTAGGTTACAAATTGACAAATGATAAAGATAAACTAGAAAACTATGTTTGTAAACATATCTTATGAGTTAGCACAGATAACAGATAATTTTTTAAAAAAATTTAACTTTTAACTGAGAAATAATTTGATAATCACTTACTTGTATAAAATAATTAAATAAATATATATGTATATTAACAAGAAAAACATAAAAATATGAAATATTTCAATCAGATCAATGTAGACATAATGCAAGTTTATTAAATTCAAACGTTTTGTAATTGCATGTAACGTTTTGAATTTTATTAATTTCAAAACATTTGTAATTGCATGTAAAAGACAGAACAGAGCATTCTGAAAAACATCCAGTAATAAATTTTGACATCAATAAAAATAAAAAATCTTTTTATTCTTAATTTAATCAATATGGAGTCAAATCTGTCTGGAGGAATGTTGTAACTGTAATGTTAATAAAAGGAAAATTTCTTTTTATTATAAACATCAATGTTAAGTTCTTACCATCAGAAGAAGGATCTTCAATCTGATGAACATAAACTTTTTCTACAGCTTTATGCATTGCAAAGATCCAATCATCAATAGAAATATCAACAGTCTTTAAGCAATCATCCTGAATTAAAGATGACATTGATGGAACCAATGGAATAACGCTATTACTGAGGCATTCACAGAGGGGACATAAAAATTCGTTTTTATCAACATCAAAACTGATATGACGTCCAAATCTGTATTTAAGTAAACAAATAAATCAATTTTTTAAATTTATATGCAAAGTTTGATACTTTTAACTCAAATTCAGTAATAAACTTTATTTTAGAAATTTAATTTATTAACAGTCTCAAGTTTTATGTTACTCATCAATGTTTTCTTATTATTTTTAATAAATTTTTGTAATTTATATATAACTTCAACCCTGATCATAATAATCATTTTTGATTTTTTAAATACTGCTTAAGCAGAAATGAATGTAACAAAAAGCCATTTTTATGGCTTTTTATTATATTGACTTTATGGCTTTAAATTTTATGTCATCATAACAAGATTAAAAACACTACTACTTACATAAAAATTATGATAATGATTCATTTTAAATTGTTCAGGAAAATTTCTTAAATTTAATTTAAAATTCTATTATGAGATGAGTTAAATAAATTATAAAATTTTGTAAGTGAGATGATGGACTTTAATAAAAAATTTTTTTGATGAACGGTTATGCTACAGATAACTATTTTATATACTAAATTAATTGAGTTAAATAATTAACTGAACTATCTGTTTGTATTAAGATAACTGACCTATCAGTATAAATTTCTTATTCATGAAATATGTTATTTTCAGACAAAAAAACTATACCTCAATGGACGACGTCTTTCTTTCTTGAGAACAGAATCAAAAAATTTCTGCCAACAATCACTATGCATAACATGTCCACAAGTTATAGTATGAGGTCCTGAAAATAAATCAGCTGGAACAAGTAAAGGATCATAGTTTTCTGCATCACTTAAAATGTGTTTTCGATTTTTTGACAGAACAGTAGATCTCTGTACAAATGCAGCTAAAACTAATGCCGGCCCTGCCAAGCTTACTTCCTGATCTTCTCTACACAAAATACAAGTGAAAACCTGATTGCTAACACTTCGTTTCTTTTGTTGATTTCCTATTGCAACTGGATTATCTGTTTGCATTTCTGTTGTTGTTTCAATCTGAGAACCAGACATAGATAATTCTTCTAATTCTGCTTCCTTAAACAATTCTGCATGCTCTTTAATGAAATTCTTTTGCATTGCTGACATATGAGCCATTATTCTTGCTTTACGGGCAGCAGCTAATTCAGCATTGCGTTTCCTATCTCTCTTTGATGTTTCTGCAATCTGAGAAACATTTGAAGTAGATTCTTCCATTTCAATAGTATTAAAATCACCTTTTGATCTTAAACTCTGAACATATTTAAATTTTCTTATAGTCCACTTTAAAAGATCTTTCTGAACTTCAATTCGAGGACAGTTCAGACATTCTTCTAGATATTGAAGGATGTCCATTTTTTGAGATTTTTCAATATATGAAAATGCTATATTTGCTTTACCTTCCAAAACTTGTTGTTCTTCATGTAATGCCAATCCAATCAAATGTAATATTTTTTCAAACTGTGTTTCTGAGTATGCAGCAGACTGCAAATTTATAGTTCTCTTTAATACTAGTCTAGTTATATGTAGCATAATATCACATTGCAGAATATTAATAATTGAGGAAAAATTTGAACAAAATTGAGGAGGTACAGGTGGAGGACAACATTCTTCTTCATTAATTGCTCTTCTTCTTCTTAATTGAACTTCTTCTGCTCTTGACTGGTCTTCTCTTGTATAATGATAATAAAATGAATTAAAATCTTTATAAAATTCTGGTTTTACTTCATACTTTCCAATAGCAGAACCTTGAGGTTTACGGAAAACAGCAACTTCATTGATAACTTCTTCCATCCCTGTCTCATAGTTTGGATCTTTAGGTAATAATTTAAATAACTGACTATGGGGCATTGATTCAATACATAATAATTGTATTATCTCCTTTTTGATTCTATCAGCTTCAGTAACATTTCCAATTCCAGGAGTATATCTTTCACATACAATTGTTAATATCAATCCTAAAAATTCTTCAGCAACAGTTACAGTTTGTCGAGTAAGATCATCTTCAGATTTTCGATGAGCAGCATCATAACATTCATCAATCCAAAACAATAAATTAAATTTGTTTATGAGATGGATTAAAAATTCATTACTTTCTATCATAGAGGCTGCAATTTGTACCATCATAATATCGCGATCATACATTTCATCACGTAAACGCACATTGTGATAAAAATAAACCTGATTTAACAAAGAATAACCATTTCTCCTCCACATTCCTGCTCGAAACTGAGCCATCATTACAAGTGTCCTCAAAGGAAGCTCCATTAATTGTTTAGGACTTGATTTATTTTCAAACTCAGGAGAATGGTAATTCAATCCATACTTTTCTAAATGTAGAAGTAATCCAGCAATGAATCTTGACAAGGGAATGTGAACTGTTACAGGCATACTAGATATATCATAATCAATACAGGATGCACTGTGTCCAAGAATTTCTCTATCAACATAAACCATTTTATCTTGTAATGTTCCAAAATGTCTTTGGGCAGCTCTGAGTGCTTTTATTAAAACAAGCCTGTCTGATCCACACCATTTTAAAGTTAAAGTCACAACAGATGCTAATTTCAGTTGTAGATTAATTCCAGTTTCCCATTCTGCTTCAAATTCAACATGTTGACCAACTTGTCTTACAACTGAATCCATTCCTTGCATCCAGTTTAATAAAGTCAACAAAGAATGGGTTCCATGAAGAAAATTTTTTCTCATTCCATCTGTCCATTCTTCGGGTGTCACAGTTAGTAAATATTTCACATCATACAGTACATACTGAGCTCTACGAAAGCTAGGATTTGAGTGATTTCTCTCAAATGCTAATTTACCATCCTCATTTCGGTTACGTTCACATTCTGATAAAAATGTTTTTAAAAGAACAAACATAGCATCTTCTTCCCTAATGAGTGTATGAGCAAGAGGTAATGTAAATACCTGAACTGATAATGAAGTGATGGACATTGAATGTTCATGATCATCTGCTATAAAATCTTTTACCAAAACTGGATAATTTTTAGTAAATACTTTTGCAAAAGTCTTTTTACATTGTTGCTCCATTAACATTCCAGTTATAAACAGTTGATGCCACTGATTCCGAGCAGTTTTCCATAGCTGAGTGTCACTTAATAAAACATTTTCTAATAAAGGAGAATCTGAATCTGCAGGAGTCATCATAACTTCACTAAATATAATTCGAAAACCTAGAATTAAAATAGATTTTTCTATTTAATGTGAAATGAAAATTATTATTTAAATTAATTTTTTTAACATTAATTTATAAATACATATTTTTCATTTTTATAATTACTGTTAGAAGTGTTTTATTTTCTATGATTTACTAATGCATAGTAACAGCATCTAGTAAATCATACTATAAGTGATTAACTATGTGATATGGCCATAATTATGCCTATTACAGATAACCTCTAAATCACAATGAATTTGGCTGGCATTGATGAAAAACGAGAAATATCTTTACCATACTATCTACATGAAGTTAGAAGAGATAGAATCACATTTAAACCCAATTCCTCAAGACAATAGGCTGATCCCCCAATTACATGGCTATCCAATCAATGAATTTTACAGTAAATTATTACACAGTCTTCTCAACATAATTTCCAATCACATGAAATATCACATAGCACAGCAACTATAAACAAAAATTTGAAAAAATATGCTAGAAATAAAATTTATTTTTAACATAAATTAAATACAAGCAATGAACAAATTATTTCCATAAGAATTAAGCTTTTTGTATAAGAAATAAGAAAAAATACAAGAAATCTACTGGTGTTCCAATTAAGACTATCAAACAGTAAATCTGAGTTTCTCTTACAACCAAGTCTGTTTTAATTAGGAGACAAAGTTCAGTCGGCAAAAGAACTTTTTATTTTCTATGACTTTTGGGATTAAAACATCCCTCTCCAGGTGGGAACACTCCAGCTTTTACATATACACTTCTCATTAATATCACAATAGTTTCTCAATATGATTTGAGGAACATACTGTGATTTTAATGAAAAATTCATATGTAAAAACTGAAGTTTTCCCACATGGAGAAGGATGTTTTAATCCCAAAATGCATAGAAAATAAAAATTCCTTTTGCCAACTGAACTTTGTCTCCTGATTAACATGTTGACTGCTGTGTGATATGCAGTGCTCATAACTAAATAGGCTTTGTCACATGTGTGTCTTGCATGCAGCATTTTACCCCACCAGTAAGTCACACACAACTTCACCATGTTAGAATAAAAATGGTTTATGAAACAAAAGAGGTGGCTTAGTGAACATATTATTTGTGTTGGCCTGGCTCTAACTGAAATTCTTAGGGCCTAATAATGAGAATAAAAATAAATATACATTTTGCTTAAGTTTACTCCAAACTTGTCATTTTTATTTAAAACTTTTATTTTTTATATACTGTAGAAAAGCCAGATATCCTCATAAAGGCACTAGGGTTTCATCAACACAGATGTTACATAACGCATTACAGCATCTTGAAATTTTTGACTTATATAATCTAGAAGGGGTTTTATTTTGTAAAGCTTATTTAAAATATTTGCATTTTTATTGTCAGAGAAATATCAGTTGCTCGAAGCTCAAATCAGTTTTGAGACAATTGATTTTACCTCATTAGAATAAAAGGCATTATTAGACCAATAACATATCAGCTATGGCATTTGAAATAATCCAATCCATAACTGCCTTCCCAAAAATATTTTTATTTCTTGAATATTAGTGTCTTTCTGATTTTGAATTTACACTTGAAGTAAATTTGTTTTTTCAGCCTTTTGGGAAGCATATTTATTGGTTTCTTGTACCATCAGATTTAGACAATTTTCATTCACAAATAATAATAATAATAATAATAAAAATTGGTTGTTTATCTGCATATCTTGAATATTCTTATTTATTTTCAAATTTTGCACAAAAGCAGTAAAAATTTTCAGATGGTCTCCTGTTACTCATTTCACTGCAAATTTGCTAAGTATTTTATCAGATGAGAAATCACTATACCATTGAAAGTTCCTGATAACATTTTCAATTGTTTCTTCATGTGGGTAAAGCACTACTACCAGACCTTATCTGATTGTCTGCTGTCTTATTGAGTAATATTTCTGATAGATGTTTGAAATAATGTACTGGGTTCAACAAGACCAGCAGTTGAAGATGTGCATACTTTTTTTTTTTTTCTTTTTTTGCACAGGAGAGCTAGAAGAATCAGAAGATTCAGAAAACCACTACTTGCTTTGTAACTTTCAAAAGGTTCTTGATCTGACAAAATTTTGTTCAGCAATGCTTCCAAACAAGCTTGTTCCTTTTCACAATTATCTAAGTCATTTAGATGCCTGTAGTTACTGATACAAATGATAAACACAAAGTGAACAAATATATAGTTTATGGTAAAAGTTTCTTCTTAAGATATTAAGTCCAGACATGCATAACTGCAGGGCACATGTGCCCCTCATAGCATCAACACTGTCTATGCTGCACAAAGCACACTTGCTTCATGGTTCAAAATCTTGTTTTAAAAGAAACTGCCATATTGAGTATGACTGTTGTTAAAATATATTTTTCAAATTATTAAATAAATAAAAAAAAACTTGCCCCGGAGATTGCAAAAGTTTTGAATATTATGGCAATCAATGTGTTAAAACAGACATGGCTGTAAGAGAAACTTAGGTTTACTATTTGATAGTCTTAACTGGAACACCAGTAGGTTTCCAGTTCCTTTCTGCATTTATGACATGAAGTCTGCCATAGTGATTTAGAAACTAAATCACTGTATAAAAAAATAAAAGCTTTTGTACTCAAATTGAAGACAAAATTTTCTGATCATGTTCAAGGTGGTGATTCAAAATTTTAAGTATTATTTAAAAATTTTGAATCACCACCTTTGTTATGTATAACAGCCATTATAGGTTTTGGCATTCATTCTATCAGGCTTGTATATTAATCAATTTCTTGCCATCTTGTTCTAATTGCTGCACTCAATTCCTCCTCATTCTTTGCCATTTTTGAAGTGACTAATGTTTAACTTCCACCAACAGTTTTCAATAAGATTTATATTCAAATTGTTGGTAGCCACTTTAAATACCTGATTTGTTTTCCTGTAGCAAATCCTTTACTGCCTTTTTCTTGATGGTGACTAGCATTGTCATCTTGAAACCACCAGTTGCTGGAATCACCAAAGTGATCATCAATTGATAGTCAAAGAGTGCTCAATTATTTCCATATAAACCTTAGCATTAACCCTGGTTTTTGTTAAATACAGATTATCAGTACCACCACCCAGGACATGCAACTCCAAACCATGAAACTTATAGGAAATTTAACAGGCTTCAGTAGACAGTCATTAAATTTTTCCAATGCATGTCTCCAGAAAAATTTGTCTCCACAATCACTAGCTCCTATACAAATTCTTGATTTGTCACTAAATTCTATCCTTTTCTATTCATCCAGTCTTTACATTCTTCAGTCAATATATAATTAATATAATATAGTTATTAACATTATTTAATGGTTTCTATTGTACAGCCATTACAATGGCTCAGTTTTGGCTTTGCAAATTTCAAACTTCATTTCTAACAGTTGCCACTATACTCTTCTGCCAGAAACTCAAACACTTGTTTTCTTCCACTCATTAACTTCTTTTGCAGTATTTTTAAAATTTCTTATACAGATATTTCATAAATTTTAATCACCTTTCTTAGTTGTTTTTCTATGACGACCAGTGTGTGGATGATTTATAACATCTATCAGTGGTACTATATTTTCTTCCAAAAATTGAATATGCTCTGGGCATAAGTAAACAATTTAGCAATTTCTTAGTGAAATTTTCCTCTTGTAACATTGTAATAATATAAAAAACTAATTATCACATAGTTCCTTTTTACGTCCCATGATTTGAAATGTTACATGACAAATGAGAACAAATAATTAAGAAAGTTTACCAGAATACTTGTATCTGCATTCACTTAATTATTTTAATATGTAAATTTGAAGTTATGGTTGTCCTAGAAGAAGATACACTACTTGATCAGAAAATTATATCTATAGAACAGCATAATTGTAAAATTTGCTTTTAAAGGCAAGGACAAAAACTTCCTGTTAAATTTTTATTCCTTGTGGAAAAATCTTAAATCTTATGAAAATGATGTGTTTAATGTATCTTAAAAATAAATTTTATTTCTAGATTATTTCTTTTCAATTTTGTTATTTATAGCTGTTGTGCTATGTCATATTCCAGGTGATTGGAATATTGTGTTGAAACTAACATTAATCTGCAAAAATAACTCTTTTTACATACCTTCACTATACGCTAGTATCTGTTGTAGCCAAGATAGTAAACGCATTGCAAAAGTTTGATGAGCCAAAACATCTGTGTGCATCACCATAACCTTCAGAGGCTGACTGCCATGCCTTGACGTAACACGTTCAATAATATGCCGCACTGAATTACAAGTTGTAAAGTTAGAACATTTTACGATACTTCTACCTTCTCGATCAATAATTGTAGCAAAATCAGTTGCTTCCTTTTGTGAGCAGGCAATAGCACGTCCTAATGTCTGAATCACCTGTTCATAATTAAGAACCAGATTAATAATTATATACTTTAAAATACATTCAAATTTAATTATTGAGAAAAATATAAAAATAGAGTGATTGTAAAATTCCAATTGAAAATTTATGAATTTTATCATAATTCTGTAAAAGATGTAATTAAAAACAAAGCTTTTCTAGTATTTATATATTTTTTGAAATAAACTAATTTTACAAAAATAAGCATTTTAATCCATTAGTAACTAGTGTGTATAAATTATTACATTGAAAAATGTGGTAGTTATTGCATTTTTGAATTGAAAGTATAAAATTTTCAGCTGACAGTAATCATTTGGTTTATCACCAATAGTTACCTTAGCAAGGACTGTAGTAATCACTTTTGAATAATACAGGGTAATTCTCTCATTAGGATACCCAAACATTTAAGGAATGTTTGGGCATCCTAATGAGAGAATTTTTTCTTTTGTTTTCGTTTTCAATAGCTGTTTTTTTTTCCTGTTTTATGGTTCTTATGAAAATTTACATGCACTTACCTTGTATATTGCAAGACTTCTTGCAATATACAAGGTTTTTTAATTTTCCTAATGTTGAAATTAAAGAGCCATAAAGCAATAAAAAGGTTACTGAAGAATGCTTGGTTTCCTAGTGAGAGAATCATCATGTAGAATCTTCACTAAGTAGTTTAGTTGATGCTAAACTTGTCTAACTTGAAAGTTTACATAAATACCTTTCATATTTGTTTTCAATAACAATAATGAAATTATTCCTGCTAACAATTTTTCATCATATAAAAATGGTTTATTAATTGAAACTAATGTCTTAAATACTATAAGTAGAGATAACAAACTTATCACCTGGCTACTGGTAACATCAAAATAACACTTCTATTGTCAGAGTTGCAGAATTACTGGTATGCATTTTGGTACACAAGACCATCATCAGCAAAACATGAAAATATATAGATGTCTGTTGTAGAACAAATTGGCAGAAAAACTGACATTAATTACAATCTACAATTTTAAACATACCTGTTCAAGATTTATTTCCATCCACACTACACAGTACTAAGAAGGTTGCATTATAAACAAGCAATATCTAAAAAGAAAATCACTTAATAATCCACTATATAATGGTCATAATTTGATTGTTTATAATGCATACCAGTAATAAAGTTACATTCTGATAATAGAAGTGTCATTTTGATGTTATCAGTAGCATTGTGACAAATCTCTTATCTCTACTATAGTATTTGAGATATTAGTTTCAACAATTTTTGAGACAAGAAGCTCTTTTATAATATAATGGTTTATTAAACTTTTACCTTTTTTCTGTTGGTAAAGCATTGCTAAACACTCATACAAAAACATACTGTATTTTATACATATAAAACACAACCACTTTTCATAGCACAAAATAGTTAGAGGAAAGTATTTAGTGTATTTAAGCTATCCCATGCCTTTAGCACTCAACTTCTTTGTTTTACTGTATTCTGGTTGAAGAAAGAAAAACTAAAATGCACACTTTTATTTATCATGAAAAAAGAGTAGTTTAAAAAAAATAATTTACTATTAAAATGTTCAAATGAATACATGTAAAATGTGCTTAGCTATACTAAATAATAATAATAATAAGTTTAATTAAACAATAACATTTTTATTCAAGATTTGGGCAGGTCAAAGTGTCTTTAGTACGTAACAGATATTGCCTACTAAAGACAGTTAGAAGAATTCATTAACTGGGGGACTGCAACTTCACGTAAGATGCAGGGCAATTTTTTGGACAATAGTTCAGTCTTACATGCCATAAAATACAATAATTCATAAAATAAGTCTTGTAAGACACATCTCATAAATCTTTGAGGTAACCAGTGACAAATTTTACAAATAAACAAATGTTTTCAAGCACATGGAGTTTATATGAGGTGTGTTATACAGTAAGTCCAGTGTGAAGTTTATTAAGTCTTGTAAGAAAATCTTGTTAATTCTTATAAATATGAAGAGCTATGTTACAAATTGATTAGTTTATAGGCTGACAAACACATTTTAAATTTATAATCTTAAAAATGTATCTAACTCATGTGAAGGGTTCACAATTAATAATTATTAGTAAAAACTTTCAAAGTTTGTGCACTTCATCTTCAGACCATTACTTCATAAAATCTGTTTGGATAGTGTTCCAATTTAAATGGCTAAAGGTGACAAAACAATAAAATTTTACAAAGTAATGGACTGAATATGATAGAAACTTTAAAAATGCTTACTGGTAATTATTAGCTATCTCCTTGGGTTAGATATATCTATTTTTAAAATTATAAAATCTGATCATGTTGATGATCTGAATTAGACAACTTTCTTTTTTTTTTTTTTTTATAAAATTGCCCAAAACATACAGGATCATAAAATTTTCAATTTACAAAAAATTCTCAATGGATGAACTTTAAAAACATCCTTTTCATACACTATCAGGAATCATTTCTTGTTGGCAGATTTTGTAAATTTTCTAAGTGCATACTAATTGTTCCAGCCATAACTTATTAAATGTATAATTTTTATAATTGATTGTGCTGCTTCCACAGGAAAGACTGTAATGTTTTGCATGTTGATGTGGATGAGAAAACTCTAAATAAAGATTAACTTTGCCATAAAAGTTATTTCCTGATGGTGTGTGAAAAGAGACTAAGATTAAAGTACACTTCTAAAGTTCGTCCATGGAGAATTTTTTTGTAAATTTCCTGATGGTGTGTGAAAAGAGACTAAGATTAAAGGACACTTCTAAAGTTTGTCCATGAAAAATTTTTTTGTAAATTTTCAAGTTCATACTTATTGCCCCAACCATAATTTTTATTAAATGTATAATTAGGAAGAACTGAACAGATGTTAACATATGTTTTAAATAAAGAAATTTTACCAGTTGACATTAGCTTCAAAATATGTATTATTCTTCCTCAAAGTAAATATTTATGTTTAAAACAAGATATTTTAAATTTTAATAATTAACCTAAATACGAATAAATTAATTTTATTATACTTACTTGTTCATAAGTGTGTACTTCATCATTAAATAACACAGCTGCATAAGTCATATTACTTTCATCATTTTTCTTTTGAGATTGTAAATCGACAGGAAGATTGATTGCATGTTCCCAAGTCAGCATTTGATAAGAGTATTTTAATACAGTATTCATTACAAATCGCATTCTCTCAACTAAATCAACTGGAAGTTTGTCCATTGGAGTAGCTCCCTCACTGGCCTGAAGAATGTAAAATATATCCTATTCATCTTTGTTATATAGAATTTAAAATTAACATAACAGAAAATTATATCAGATATAAAGTCAAAAACTAACAACTTTTTATAAACAAAAATTAAAGTAATTACAGAGGAAGAAAAAAAATGTAAGTTTTAAAAATGTACCAATATATTTCTAGTAAAAAATAATATATATTACAAAGAAAATTTCAAAGTGGAAATGTAATACAAACAAAGTACACCAAATTTCACTCTTTACTAATATGGCACTTGATAATTTTGGTTAGGTATTATTTAAATTTTTTTATGTTACATTATTAACCTTTAATTAAGATATAGAAATAGACAACTTTCAGATGAAACATTCATGTATTAACTTTTAAAACAATCTAAACTTCTGCTTACTATAATGATTATTATTGATAACAAACTATACATATATAACTATACAAACTGCTTTATCAGAGTTGCTCTATGTCTCTAAACTTTAATATAATTTACAGTAATTAATCCTAGAACTTTTGATTATTAAGGTCAATCATCAGAAGATAAGAATTTCTGTTCTAAGAATAATGTTAACTTCAAAATTATTCATTTAAACCTGTCCATGTTTGAAATTTATTCCTCCAAAACCATATGTCTTCTGCTTCCACATGTGATTCATCTGATAATGGACCTTCCACATGTTATTTACTAATATTTAAATTACTAGAAAAAGTTATGTTTAATGTTACAGTGTGTAATATGTATAAAGTACTTTTAGTGCTTTGGTAAAGCTGAGATGCATGTATCCAAATTATAAAAGTCATTTCAAACTAATGCACATTCACAATAATTAAAATGATACAGTTAAAAAGTCAAATTATTATTCACAATTTGGCTAAAATTCAAAATTTACTAAACCTTATTATGAACAGATTCAAAGTATTAAAATTTTGGTTTATAAACAAACAGATCTAAATTTGATATTCAGAAAAAATGGTATCTCTAATAAACTTGAAGTTTTAAATTTATTATAAGAGTATAAACAAATAGGAAAAAAATGTTTGATGTGACATAGGAATTTATAATTTTAATTTTTACATTTGATAGAAGCTTTAAGACAAATAATTTCAACAAATAATTAGCAATTTTAATGAACAAGTCAATATTAGATTAAAGTGACTTTTACTGTATAATTTTTAGTGTTTTATGAAGAAATTTTTAAAAATTGCATTTATAAATTTATTAGACAAAATTTAATTGTCTTATTTTATAAAATTGCTTTAAATTAACAATAATTAATACAAAATAGAGGAATTTATAAAATTATTTTATAAATCTGAATAAATTTATAATTTTTTAAAAATAAATTACAAACTTGGTTTATTTAAAAAAAAAATAATAATAATATTATGAGTCAGTAATTCATTATGTCAGAAACAATTCTGATATAATAAATTACTGCTTATTACACTTTAGACCATTCTACTTTTGTGTTCAATCCTACTGAGTTGTTATTCCTATTTTTAAGTGTTTACATATTTGATAATTGAAGAAACAAAAATTTGTTTAACTTAAAATTAATTAAGATATATTTCTAAAACCTGAATTTTGGCTTGAAGATGAACTTCGCAAAATGCATGAGCTTTCCAGGCACCCTCATCTCCACAGTCACAGTAACCTCCACCACTACTCATACTCATTTTGTATCTGTGTGTTTTGTGTGCACTATAATAATAATAAAAAATACTTAATAATAAGATTATAAAAACCTTCAGATTGTAAAAATCCAAGATATACAACATAATTATTATTCAATACAGATTAAAAATCAATTATTTACTAATATTTAAATTACTACAAAAAGTTATGTTTAATGTTATAGTGTGTAATATGTATAAAGTACTTTTAGTGCTTGGTAAAGCTGAGATGCATGTATCCAAATTATAAAAGTCATTTCAAACTAATGCACATTCACAATAATTAAAATGATACAGTTAAAAAGTCAAATAGTGCTAATCTTTTATATTTAATATTTGAATCAAGTACAGTATATCAAACAATTCTTTGAGTGCAATGTGCAGCATACTGATTAAACTTAAATCTGATAATATATGTTGTACACTGATGAAATGGTATGAAATGTGTAAATAAAGTACAATAACTTTCTGATTGAAATATCTGCACAATTCTGATCAAAATTTTTTCCAAGTTTTTATAAAATGAATTCCATCAACGAAAATAAGTGACTATCAAAACACTGATCTGTCATTAATAAAATCAAACAGTACAATGCTGAAGGAAATTTTTTCTGAAAATTGAAGTTAAATTTTAATTTGAAGAATCATATCTAAGTAATTATTTTTAACTTTGAAATATCAAAATTTAGCTATGCAAGACTATGAAAAAAATCATATAAAATAAATGAAATGTAAATAAAGACTAGCAAATTAATAAAACGGTATATGACATATAAGTGAATACTTATTTTCATCATATTAAAACCACATATTACTGCTCAAAATAATGTTCTTTCTATAATAAATGAATTTTTAGAAAAAATATGGCATTTTAAAACCGGATACCAATTTTTGTCTGTCGTTTAAAATTCATCAGATTTTTAATTATTATTTAAATTCTTGCTACAAGTTAATTGTACTATTTTATCATAGAAAGTTTGTAACTTTTGATAAATATTAAAAATGAAACTAACTTTTTGATTTCTTTATACATCTGAGTGCTGTTTTACGTAATAAAATTTTTCAATCTTAATTTTTATTTACTTTTTTTATATAAATTTTTTAAATTAAACAAAAATCAAAGTAATATTCCAAATTTAATACTAAGAACTGAAATTCTTTCCATAAGAAAATCTTTTATCAATAAATCAATAACATTTCTTCAAAATGTTTTGTTTGGCTTCTTTGATGACAGTTATTTACTTTTATATTATATATTACATGACTTTTAAGACAAAAAAAATTGAATTTAATCAATAAATTCAATAAATGTTTAGATATATAATACAAATTTCTTAAGAATTCAGATTAAATAATTAGAAGAAATATTTTTCAGTTTTCATGATTAACATTCTCTATCAGATTTCTCCCAGAACATTGATTTCAGAACAACAAATATAAATTTGGAACAAAACATTCATATTAAACATATCGCCTGTGATCCAAAGTATCAGGAATGGTCCAATAAAAAAGTTTGAACTTATTCATCAAAATTTATTTATTTCCTTTCAAAGTAATTCCCTCCCACTGCAATGCATTTATCCCAATATTTTTTCCAATCCTTGAAACATGCTTTAAAGTTGTTTTTGTGAAAGCCTTCAGTATTCACAATGAATTTTGTTTTATAGCATCAATCAAAACAAAGATTACAAAGCAGAAATTTTAATCGAGGAAACAAGAAAAAGCATACAGTGGTATATAGAGCATAGAGTGGTATATACTGTATTTGTTGAATTATTAGCCAAAAATTCACGAACAACAAGAGCATTGAAAGCAGGGACTTTGTTGTGCAAAATCATGAATTTTCTTGCCAGAAATCAGGCTGTTTTCTATGAATTGCTTCATGCAAATGAGAAAACACTCAAAATATATTCTTTGTTGATAGTTGGACTAGTCAGAAGGAATTTGTGATGCACAACACCACAACAATCAAAGAAAACAGTCAGCATGACCCTATCTTTGGTCTTGGATGTGGGTTTTTTGGTCTTGTTTCACTTCAAACACCATTCACTTAATTGTTGGGCTGTTTTAGTGGCAAAAGCGGAGATCTATGTTTTACCACTCATAATGATATGTTTTAAGAATGGTTTGCCTTGAGAAAGCACTTCCTTGGCCACTTGAACATGCTGCTTTTGGTAAAATCCAAGATTTAAGGGATGATTCTAGCAGCAAAGTGGCACAAGCCCAAATATTGTTTGACAAGATCCAAATGATACTAGAACATGTTCAAAAATGTCCCTAATTGTTAAATGATGATCACTGAGCACCAAATCTCTGACATGAGCAATGTCTTATTCGTCAGCTGAAGTGGATGATCTACCAAAGTATGGTTCATTTTCAATGTATTCTCTGCCTTCCTTGAACATCTTGTACCACTCAAAAACTCTTGTTTTTGATAGACTATCATCACCAAAAGTTTTTTGCAGCATTCCTAACACTTTTATAGCAGTAATTCCGTTACAAAAACAAAATTTAAAGCATTTTCTTTGCTCAATTACACTCAACATTTTGAAAAATTGCCAGTGCAAAAATTCTTTACACACAAAAGGAATGCTTATTTGCAAACAAAAATAGACAAGGACATACAGATTGCTGCTAGATGTCAATAAGTCATACCAAATGACCAGAAAAAAAAATATGACAGCATCCTCTTGCATGCATGCAATTTAAATGTATTATTCATGATACGTTTTGATTACAGTATTATATATCCAAACACATTATTAATTTAACGAATAAATAAATTATAAAATGTTCAAATATATATGTTTAAAACAAATACTATTTTAAATTTTTCCTACTTTCTGAAACAAATGTTCTAAAAGTGATCTAAAGACAAATAATTAAATATTTTTTTATATTTCAATAATAGTAAACTGTAATTTTTTTAAATTTTTGAATCAAGGAGTCAAATTTTTAAAACTTTCAAATAAAATCCAAAATAAAAATTTTATTAACTATTTCATAACATACAAAATTTTCTAAATTACATTTTTTCAATTTTATGAAAATAAAATGAAAGTGCACATATGAAACCTTTTGAGAGTATTTAATAAATGTTCTTATTATCCAAAAATATTATTCTCAATTAACATTTACAAAAGAAACTTATAATAGTCTATCATCAATAACTAAGGCTTAAGTCAGGGGTGTCCAACCTTTATGTTTCTCTGGGCCGCATTGGAAGAAGTCAAGGAGTTTTGGGCCACAAGTATATATAATATATACTTGTGGCCCAATATACAAGTATATTTAAAAACTAACATGTCTAGATTATAATAATAAGTATTAAAACTTTATCAAGAAAAAAGGATATTTTAAAAAATTACTTCTACAGAGACTCAATTTTTACTTAGAAATAGATAAATCCATTTATTATAAAAGAGACTAAAGAAAATTCATTTGAAAAACACAAATATTTGTTTTATTTGGGTCTATAATTAATAAAAAGCGACGAAACACCATTTTAAAGTGCATTTTTATTCAATTAATGTAATTATAAATAATATTAGCCGAAAAAGTAGCCAAAGCGCCAAATGATATTTTTTACGTCAAGCAAAAAAGTAGCCACATTTGGCCCAATGTAGCCAAATCTTGCAACGTTGGAAGAAATACTAAATAAAGCTGGAGTTGTGAATCAAAGGATTATAGACCCAAGTGCGGGGAAAAAGAGGCAAAGGACAAAAGATAAAGAAGTGAAAAAGGTTGAAAAATTACGGGTCTATATTTGTTTAACAGAAGATCTATTTAACGTTTCTCACTACTACATCTTTTGTCCTTTCTCATCTTTCCCTCCCTTTCCCAAATTTGGATCTATAATCCTTTGAGTCACAACTCCAGCTTTATTTAGTAATCCTTCCGCATTCACACATCTCCAA